ATTTAACACTTGGCAATTCATGTCGCCAGTTCGAGCATGTCGCTTAGTTCCTTATTACAAATATGGGAAAAAACGTTGTAATCTGTTGTTCCAGTCTGCTATACTACATTTACTAATCTTAAAAAGAACATGATTATTTTTTTTAGTTTTCTTACAACGACTAGGTCGAAAAATATAAATTTAGAAGCGACCAAAATTAAGGATATCTAAGAATGCGCGCTAAAAAATGAATTCTTAAAAAAATATCGGTCATTTTTTATTTTTTGATTCCTCGCCACATCCCGAGAACAGACCGACAGTGCAGTAAAAAATTCGGCGCTAAAAAGAATAACACGGCGAGTCTATTACTCGTACAGCATGTCATCGACGGTTCATTAAAATACGATGACTTAACACAAACACTATAGTGGACTTCATTGATAGCCTCTGACGTAGGTTTGTCTCTGAAAAAACCCATCACCTGCAGCCAAGCTAATTTCTACCTTCAACCTATGTGTTAAGAGTTAAATCATTATTCTTAAAACTTCATAGATTCGTTTTGTAACCGAAAGATCTTTTACAATAGCTCTTCATTCCGTGGAATCCATTGATAAGTTTGATGCTACCAGTGTTACAAGAAGCTGATCTCACGAGCGTTGAGAAAGTCAATTATTAAACAATTTTTGTCAATAAATCAGATAAAATAATGATGATGCGAATTATAAAGTTTATACGGATAAATTCACTAATCTTATTTAAAGTTGGTAATAAAGATTATGGACGTAACTTATTTATAACTAAACAAGTTGAATTTACAACTCTATTACTACCATTTCTAAGGAACATAACTTAATAATTATGTGGTGTTCTCACATTCTATTTCTGAAAGTTCTTCTTATTAAGAACAGCAACTCATGATACTCATTGTTGTACCCCAAATGTTGAATAAATTATATCATGTTAAAAATTAAACATTTGCTCTAATTTAAGCGTAACACTAACGAATATGTTGTTGAAACGAAAATAAAAAAAAGTTAACTGTAAGTCAATAACGATAAATAACTTCTCGCAATATTAAAATAAAAAAGACAAATTAAGAAAAAACAGATGAAATACATAGACCTCCAATATCCAAAATGAAAACCATATAATACTATTCTTGGTAAAAGATTGAGAAAAATCCATCAACTAAACAGGTACTAAATCTATCAATCGCCTACAAAAAGCTGTAAACAGTACCGATACAGTTATAAAATTATTGTGCCGTGGAAATAAGCAATTTAATGCGAAATTGGATGCCACGAAAACAGTCTGTGAGGTCGGTTCTCTTTGGAATAGATTAATTAAAAAGATTTACATCGATTTTCCATCGTCACTCGCAGCTTGCACCGTACAAATTACAATTTAAGTTAAGACTGCCCTTTATTGTCACTTCTACTACAAAAATTCTCGTTTATACTTTATAAGACATAGTTAATACCGCGACTCCGTTCGCGCGGAATTAAAAACTAATAATATGTTCTTCCAACTATTCATCTATAAACAAAAGTCAGTTCAAAACATCAAGATCCGTTGAGCCGTTTAAAAGATACAAACACCCATCCATCCAAACTTTCGAATTTATTAGTAAGATGGACCAAATGAACCAAAAACATAGATGTTATACTTTTCTAGTTATATTTAACTAAATTGACGATCAACGGATTTTCTTCTATCATATTTGGGCAAGAAATTTCTACACGTATAATTTCAAGAAAATTAATTTTAGCGAGGTAAAAACTTACCTTAAGATATTTTGTACACATTAAATAATGCATATATGAAGCTAATGCATATAAGTTTATATGTCAGAACTTACCCAAAGATGTTCTAACAATCTTAGCTCGGCAAAACGTTAGTTTTGACAAATACGTGACTTTCATGCAAGGAATTTATGCTAACAATTTTGCATGACATAAGTTTCGTCTATGAAATTCAAACTTGAGGGTAAATTTAAATTGTTACTTTAACAAATATTTAGAAAATACACCGAAAATGTACTCAAATAAAAAATATCGCTAATTTTCAGTTGTTTTAGCATTTTATCTATTGTAATAAAAGTGTAACTAACTCAAGGTAGGCTCCGAGCCCCTCAGTGGAGGTATAATGAGCTGATGATGAATAAAAGTGGTTACTTAAGAGACAGAATAAAAAAAAAAACTTTTATTTGTATCTATAAAAATCGAAACGGCCAAACCATTATCCGCAAAATTGGGAAATATTTTAATCGCAACGATCACTCTCGGTAAAATAGTACCAGTTATTAAAAAAATATAACGTCTAAATCAAATTTATTTCGACGTGTGCTGAAAATCTTTTGCCATAAAAGTTGTCTAGCAAAGCTAAGTAGTTTCGATAAGTTAATCATAAAATAAACAACATACTACATACTCAAACCGTAACCCAGAAGGGTACGCAGGGTTCATGAATTTTTATTTGGCGTGGTCATGTTTATATCTGCACTTGCAGTAGCATACAGCTCTACATGAGTATTTTTAGTATTTGTATTACATTAAATATTATAACTTACAAGATGTTGCGCTTTCCTTTACACTCAAAGTCTAAGGGACTCCGAGCATTACTTAAAATAACTTTAAGTTAAAGTGCACTTACACAAGTAACTTTAAATTTGCATAGTAAATAGTTCCTAAGCGAAACTACATTTTAGTGTAAAATATGATAGTTAACTGTAAAACATGAAAGTAAGTTTATAATCATCGTTTATATTCTTTAAAGATTTTCAACTTTTGTCGAACACATTAACGTTAATATCGGGTGTTTTAGAAACAAATTACATGAACTTATTTCGACTCTACAATTATTGTAATAATCTTACTATCTTACTAATATTATAAATGGGAAAGTTTAGATGGATGGATGGTTAGAAAGGTGTTTGAAGGTATTTCCAGAACAGCTGGACAGATCTTTATGAAATTTGGTATAGATATAGAATCATCATCATCATCATCAGCTCACTATACGTCCCCACCGAGGTGCTCGGAGCCTACCCTACGTTAAGGGTGATTAGGCCATAGTCAACTCTTCTCAGATATGTGCAGGTTGCATCACGATGTTTTCCTTCACCTTAAGAACGTTGGATAAATGTACATATGTAAATCGGAAATCGAAAAACACATTGGTACATGGCGGGATTCGAACCCAGGACCTGCAGATTGCAAGTCAAGTGCTTGACCCCTGAGCCACCAAAGCCCATAGATATAGAGTATAGTCTGGAAGAATACATAGGCTACTTACAAACGTTTTATTTAATTGGCGCAGATGGACTTGCTGGAGACAGCTAGTTTTTCTACAAAATCATCAACAGTACACTTAGAAAATTTCGTTTAATTCATTAATTCAATTTACTACATACGACCGTATAATAGTTGAACTCTATTCGGCCTTATAAAGCCTTGTAACGAACGTCTAACCGCAAGTTGTTCCACGGGGTACAGGGCAATGTGACTGACATTTTGAATTAATTAAACGATTCGACGATAATCCAGTTCATGTTAAGGGCCTCTAATATCACTTTAGAGAGATATAACGTTAATTAAAAATTTGTGTACTCACAATGACTTACATAAACTTAATTATACACCTTGGTACTAGTTTTAAATAAAAATCAATATCTATTATAATTTATTTAAACAAATATTTCATTTATTAATTAATTTTCTTCCTTCCAAAAATTAAGGACTTAATCTATTAGTCTTTATCAGTAAATGAAAGTCGAAGTAATTTTAGTATTTCGTCGTCAAAGCATATTGCCGCATCGCTAGAGCTTTTGTCGTCTTGTCATCATTCATAAAAGCTATCAAAGGAAAGCAGCGAGATAAGAAAGAAAAATGACAAGTACCTTTAGAAGACGCGTTATCGACAAGATCTTGTATAGAACAATATACTTGACTACATAGAAAAATATGGTATAAAACAATATTTAAGATACGTTTGATTTACAAAAAATAGGCACTGATAAAGGGTTAAGTTTTCGTCTCAATATTACTTCGTAAGAAAGAGACGTATATATTTTTGTGGCTTTATCGAGAGCGAATGGGCAGAACTGTGTCCCCTCCATTTGCGCTTGCGCCTGTTTTCGTACAATACTCGGGTGACAAAAAATTTATAAAAGTTCTGAATACGAAAATACCAATTGAACAATGTAAGAGATGATTGAATGTAATATCCCGTCTTGTTAATGAATATTCGGTGATTATTTTATTTTGAAATGCTTAAAAAACGAATACTTATGCTTATATAATTGCCCAATTTACGATTAAGTTGAAACTGGAAAAATACTGAGGTTTGGACTCACATACAATATATAAAAGAGTCATGTTATAAGAAATCGACTGAAATAAGGTTGTAAGGATAATCTTGAAAGATGGAGTGGATAAAACAGACTTCAAAAAATGGATTGGACAGCAACCCACTTATTAGAAGAAACCATATGTATCTACGAAATTAAAAAAAAACAGCAAACCAAAACAAAAGCAACAATAGATGATTCCCAAAACAAACAGCTCGTGTCGTCACCACACGTTTCACACTCATACAAGTGGGTGTGTTCGATGTGCAATCACTCACACAAAGGCAGCGCGGCGTCCGGACCTCAGCGGGCCTCCCGCGCGCACGCACACCAGCCAGCAACCCTCCCCGCACAAACACACCGCCACTCTCAGTCCCATACAGCCTCCTCCGCTGCACTCACGCGCACAAAAAAAGATAACGCGATCTATCGATCTTTTTTCTATTTAAAAAAATAAAAAAAACATAGCCCGATAGGCTTCGTAGCTATAGTCGGATAAGCCTGACGTCTACGATCGAACGCGTCGCCTTAGGCGAGACATACCGATTACACTATTTATGACGGCATAATTAATTAAACATGTCGTTATAATTATGTAAATACGAATGGGTGATAAACAATTTAAATTATGTGCTTCGATCTCGTCCGTTTAATTTAATGTAAACAGATGTTTATCATAATTTGTGACGTTTTTACGGTGCCAATGTTTTAATGATAAAACGCTTTAATGTATCCGTTAAAAATTGTTCAGTTGTGCGGCTTAAAAATGAACGGTTCGCGCCTTTTGTGAAGCCAATCGTTCGTGGAGGTGACGTCTTTGATGACATTATCATTCTGACAGTCATACCATTATGGAACGTCACCAAAATGGTATGGATGTGTGGGTAGGTAAGGGTATATACATAATATTGTTATTTATCTATGCTATATGTAGTGTATATAATGTGATAGACGACCAAGTAACGTTTAATTGACCTCTAAGACCATATATCTGACTTAACCGCATAGTTTCTGTTTTGTTAATTTCAAAGAGCTTTTGACTTATGTATATTTTCCACTCTTGTCATTGATTCATGTAAACATTTTCAGGAAAAGCTTTTGTATATAAAACATAAGCCTCCACGTATTGATACCATGTATTTTTTTCCAAATTTATAATAAATTTGAGGTTATAAAATGCATGCAAAGCGAAAATCAACACCAACGTGCCCACAAAAACTTGTTTTATGGCAAAATTATTGATCATTTTCCTTATTGCACTTTAAAAGTTTGATACTAATTAGGAGCCTCGATCTGTACCTTTATTAAACAGTGTTGAACATCGAAATAACACATACAAATATGACCACAAGAATTAAATGTTTTATCAAACAAATTGAACTAAATTAGATTATACAAACACACACACAAATTGAATTTATGTCACCTATATTAACGACTATTTGTCGCCCGTGACTCCGTATGCGCGGAAATAAAAAAAAACTTAATTTGTTCCCGGCATTTATCTTTAAAGCTTCCCTAGACGTCTACGAACATTTCAAGACCAAGATAAGATAAATCCGTTCAGCGGTTCTCGAGTTTTAGCAAGACTAACGAACAGCAATCGATTTATATATACATATATATAGATTTAAGAAAGTAGCATTTTCATAGAACACGCGGTCAATAATACAGATTTACAATAAATATTATAAATTGATACAAGCTTTTTGTACATTTAATATAATATCAAATGATTATATAATCTGAAAAATCCGGATCTTGCTTAGCGATATAGAAAATAAAATCTTAGAATACTACTTGAAAATACCAAACCTGAACAAATAAAAGAATAAAGCAATTGTACTTTGAAGTATAAAATATAATATATGCTACTTTATTTGTCTCGGCTTATGTACACAATAAAAGGTTTTTCCATTTTTCCATCGTAATATTTACTTACAGTTGTCATCGAACTGATGAAAGGTTTTTGATGAGAATGTCAGGCATTGTAATGGATATTTTTATAATATTCTCTTTGTATCTTGAAGTCTAAAAGGTTTAACGAAGACGAAATAATAATGACAATGACTTCTGTTATAAAAAGTGCTAGAGTGTTAAAAACCCTTTAGATCTCAACATATATGTACTTATTTTATTGTAAAGATATAGCAAATTTTATTGTTTCCATTTATAGATAAAATTTTGTCTCTACTTTAGTTGAACTATTTTTTAACTCTACATATTTTTATCGTACTACGTTATATATGTTGTACGACTACTACTTACTTGATATGGATTACATAGGCTAATTTAATACATACATAAAAATGTCGCTACAAAAACATATAGATAAAGATATATATGTTGTTCTGCTATCTTCTACCTTACTGTAGGTGTCTATTTACAAAGGTCACTTGGCTTATTCAATGATATTTAGAAACTTGCTTGTCTCAACTTATATCCTAAAAAAAATTCGACTAACTATTAGTCCTTTATCAATCTTGATTGGGATGCCATACTTGGTAATTAATTAAAATTAATTTGCTTTTCAAAGAGATACCACTTAAAGGAAACATAAATATGAAGTGTAAATATTTTCAATTAATTTTAATTAAGCTTCAGAGGGAGCACACAAAGATTAAATTTACTCTTGGCCCGTCGAACCTAATTCACTTTATAAATTACCAACGTTTTATCGAAAATATTATAATGTCAGGAATGTAAATATAAAATATATTTCGAAAGGAAAATTTTCTAGACCTCCTAAGAATGGAATCGTTTATAGTTGTTTGTGCTTTTTTCATTTATTTATTCAAACTATTCGAAAATGTTAAATGATCAGTTTATTTCTTATGGAAAATATTTATATTTATTTATTTAAACAATTTTGTTCTTTAACATAATTTTCAGAAGTCATTGCGCGGAAATTGCAAAAGTTTTCCTGTAAATTATGTAATCATGAAAACTTTTACTGAATTTCATGAAATTCATGATTGTCTATGGCCACTACAACAAATTACAGGATACAATACATAGAAAGTAAAATATTTCAAACTTGATAGAATATGTCGAATGTAGCTTTAAACACATATGTTTTCTTGTTTTTCCAATATAATTAAGAATCCTTGTCCTATAATCGCCATTAATACTAACATTGCATTAGGACAGGGCCGGGTGAATCAGCTAGGAGGGCTGTTCATCAACGGACGACCGCTGCCGAACCACATTCGGCTGAAAATTGTAGAGATGGCGGCGGCGGGAGTGCGGCCATGTGTTATCTCACGGCAACTCAGGGTCTCACACGGCTGCGTCTCTAAGATCCTTAATAGGTACCAGGTGAGAGGGTTTATATTTACTACATGTGAATAAATTAATTTAAATGTTAATCAAAAAAGTCAAGAAATAATAACTATACAATTTAATGAAAAGGGAAATAGTGCGAATCTCCCAATAGTTATTGAAACAATTGCCATTGATTTTCTGGGCGACGAAGCCTGAAGGTTTGTTTTCACCAGCTCAGCATTATAATGGTGATTGTTAGTTCAGGAAACGTTTGTTCCGCTCCACGTGGCCTGCGGTAACCTCCAACCCGCTCACCACTATTGTCAAAAGCGAGCCTTCCAATGTGTGTTAGTACACTGTAATTACTTCCGCGTTTACTGAATACTAAAAAAATGTTTTTGTATAATTTTGTTTTATTAGTGAAAATAAACAAAAAAACATGGAAAATTTTTCAAAACACAAACGCGAAAAGTTTTCATAAGACTAAACTATCGTAATCGGTCTTTAGTTATGATAATAGCTTGGAGGATTTTATTTGTATTAATTGATATTTTAAAAATGTATAAAATGTTAAAAATTTATATAACATGTTAACAGTCCTTATCAGATTTTTTTTTCCAAGGTTTGCACTTATAAGCTTGCATATCATGTAAAGGGCTTAAAGGATAAATACAGAAAAAAATGCTTCTATTATTTACTTGGAAATCTATGTTGTGTCATCCCATATAGTTATATTCAGTACAAACTATCTAAACTACTTAAATACAAAGTTAACCAAGTTTAACCAAGTAAACTGTGAAAGCGGAATGGCCGGATACTTCAAAGTTATACCGTCTGATAAACATTAAGTTCTAAGTTAAAATTATGTAACATTCAGAAACATGTAATGTAATAGAAATACTTCAAGATGTATTTACATTAGTTATCCATACGTTTTTTTAGAAATAATAAGGTATCATGGATATTAAAAAATCGATCCATTAATTTATGTTCAATATTACAACGAACATAAGCATCTGTATGATTTCATATTATTTTATAAGTTCAATTCTAAAAAGGTCCAATATCTTCTCTTTGCTTAGGAGACGGGGTCAATCAGACCAGGCGTCATCGGAGGCTCCAAACCGAGGGTGGCGACGCCTGAAGTCGAAGCGCGAATTGAAGAACTGAAACGCCAAAACCCAGGAATCTTCTCATGGGAAATAAGAGAGAAGTTAATAAAGGTATTTATTTTCAATGATTTATTAACGCTCTTTGTATACAAGATATAAACATTTAAATGTATTTTTTCTAAGTAGTGGTCAGTATTTATGTACATTTTGCATTTAGGTAAGAGAGACGAAGTAGGTTATTCAAAATACCCAGTAATACAAAAAACTGATTAATTTTTCATTTCTATGTATTTTCATAGGGAGATGTTATATTTAGTATCAGCAAAATATCGCGGCAAGTCACTCTACATTCTTGTTACTTAGCAAAAGCAATCGCTGATGGATTAGCAAAGTTAATTTGATATTTCAGAGTCAACCTTGAGCTTGATTGAATGGTCGCGGTGAAATTTCAGCGACCAGAAGTCTAAAGATGATTTATTACAGAATAGATATTAGCTGGATTCACGCTTCATCGACATTTGCCGCGGTCGTTGCGTTCTACAATCTTGTGAAACTTCGTTATGAAATTCTAGACAGCAATTATATTTGCGTATGATTCATAACAATGGAACTATGATTTTTGGAAGAGTTAAAAAATTATTTCTTCAATTGTTCGATGTATAGAATTCAATAGGTAAAAAATATACTAACGACACTTATTAATATTATATTTTGTACACTTTTTGTATCAGTCAGGAAAATAAAAGCAATTTTTTCATGGATTTTGTTTCATGGACATTATGTTAATTTCTGACCCTTTACATGAAAATCGTACTCTGGAAAACTATTGACGAATTGCCAAACTTTACTTAGGACTTGCCGACATCCTACGTTTGAACAAATTAGGATATTTTTTAAAACTCGATCTATAAATTGTTAGGAAGAAAATCCGACACCATGCCGGTGTACTGGCGCAACACTAGCCTTACTAAAATGTCGACGTTTATATCCCCTCACTAATCATTCTGACACTTGACTTGGTAACGAAAGGGCGCCTTTCGCGCCAAAAGATTCTAACTAATAATTTCTAAAAATACGTATTTATTATGACGATATATTGTTTCCAGGAGGGGGTGACAGACCCTCCTAGCATTTCGTCCATCTCCCGACTACTGCGCGGCGGCTCCCGGGACCCTGACGGGAAGAAGGACTACAGCATTGATGGTATACTAGGAGGTAAGTTATTACTTGATTGTGTGGATTGAGATGACAAATAAGTTATATCAAATAGTTAATCGATTTTATTTAAAAATATGACGTCTTTCGAAATTTCTTAGTAATATTACAATTGTAGATGTATTAGGTCCTTCGTACACAAGGAAATGAAAATCTTCGAAACTAATATTTCCATAGAGAGTAACTTATAGTGTGCGCTCATCACTTTTGTATTACACATATTTTAATCGCCGACTACGTCTCGCGGTAGAATACAAGCATAGCGACTACACGGATAACAAAAACAATTAATATTTGCCCCGCCATCTTTATATTTAATCGCAGCGACTTTTCTCGCGACGTTCTTGACGAACAGACAGCGATGGGCTGGCTTTGAAGAGGAAAGAATAAAATGTCAGCAACGCGTTTCTGTGTACAAACGAATCTATAAAAGTGTATTGGACTAATCTTAGCGACAAAAATCGCCGGGTATCGAATATTTACGTAGCGTTGTGTAAGAAGGACCTTACAGTTCACTGCCTCAAACAACCCGACCAAACCTGTCCGTACAAATTGCACAATAACTTCCCGAATCACAGAACCATTATTTCGCAACGCGGCAACCTGCAAAGCATTCTCACGAGCGCTTTTTGAAAAAAAAATCAATTTCCGCACACAAATCTTACCACGTCATTGTTGCCATTTGAAATATTATAGTACGTTCCTTAGGCGTTAAAGATCGGCTCTCGTTTGCGGATCGGTTTCTAAAGGTAGCCGACAGAGAGCGCCGCGGTCGCCCGCCGCGATACCTCGCAGTGCTGAAACACCAACAAAGTGACATGTTTTTGGTTGTTCTATTATAGTGTACTCTATATTTTGTCGCCAAGTCGATTGTTCAACGACTTCGAATATCTGTTTGTATCGCCGCCACATCCGACATTGAAGTTAACAAGTGATGTTCCTATAGAAAGCTGACATGAGCTTTTATGACTGCCCAACTAGTTTGGTTTTAATTTATTGTTTCTTTTTGTACAGCAAGTCTTATTTAATGATAATAGAAAACACGCTCTTTTGCAGTTTAACCCATTCAAACTAAAAAAAAAAAAACTTAATATGTAGCATATGCCTTCTTTCTATGTTCTACATTTGTGCTAAATTTCATCAAGATCCGTTGAGCCGATCCGGAGATAACTTCTAACTAACATCCATCCATCCATCTAAACTTTCGCATTTATTATATCAATAAGATTAGTTAGATTATGTAAAAACCGAAAGCTATTGTTATCAAAGCATATTTACATTAAAACAAAAATTAAAAACAAGGACGTAACGAATGGCATTGCATTGTTTTTATACTTATTTATTTTCTAGAAAATTACTTCATCCGAGTAATGTAGGTGCAAATTACTAGCGCGTACATACGAATGTGTCGCCTAAGAGCCATTACGCTAGCTTGTGATCCACTTTCACATCGCATCAGAACAATACAAAAAGAGGTAGGCGATAAAATCTCACATTTGTTTAATAACATCGCTCGTTAGAATCAACTAATGTCATACAGATGGACTATCAAAGAACCACCGCGTTGTCTCGACCGCTAACACTTCGCTTTTGTATCGCGCGGTTTACAAAAAAACAAGTTATTTGTTTTCTACGCATCAGTCACAGTCGTGGTAAGTTTCAATGTAGAGTAACTACAGGGCAGAGGAAAATAATTTGTATTTTAAGATGTTTTTGAATCCAGGTTGTTTCTTGTTCCTTGTAATATTTGCAACATAATCATTTAATTAATTCGATAAGAGATGGGTAACAATTAATTTAATGTTAATTTATATCATGAAATTCTATTAGTAATTTAGTACTAAACAAATTTACTCGTAACAGCAGATGAGATTTTGGGCAAAATATTCTTAATTCATAATCTAATTACAAACAAAAATCTCACCGTACAAACAAATTGAAGTTGAAATACCGAAACGAAATCATTGAAACTTTATGCAGCAGCTTAGTAAAATAATTTAAGGATAAATGTTAAGAAAGTATTCAAAATGGCAATGAAAAACGAGGAATGCCGATACGACCCACGCCCCTACAAGACGTGCTAATCCGGCCATCTGTTAGCATCGCAACAAACCGCTGAAACAAAGGCCCGCCCGACCACTTTAATGAAGCCAGATTATGAAGGTGTTAAACCGCTGCCGCCGCCGCTCTTTCAACTCTCGAATTATTGCTTTCCAACGCCGACATCACGAGGTCACATTTCGGCAATCGCCAAAGATCCTCCCACCTTCTCCCACTCGCATTCCGAACATAAAGCTCTCGCATTTCTTTCAACATAAAATCTTTTTACAGCTTTAGTTTTACTTCGAGGTTTAAAAGAAATAACACTAAAATAGCCCTTAATTCAGTGCAGTAGGGTTTGGAATAGTTAAGAAGGTTAATATATAGGTACTAAGCGTTATTTAGCCCCATACGTTATGATCAGAGCCGGTACAAAAAAGACAAAATAATTTTGTCGCTGTCTTACGAGCGGGCCGTAGAATTTGAGCAATGTAAATCATTTTATTATAACACTTCGTTTTTTCATTGCTTTCGCAGCCTTTGTGGTTTATGTTATGTTCTTTTTCAACATAATGTCTTAGTTATGTTTTTAAAATAAAACTTTTGTCTTGTTTGTTTGTATGTATGTAACACTTATTAATCAGCAGAACTAGAATCATTACAAAAATCACACAACACATTAATCAACATGAAAACATTCATATGAAATTGGACAGATTTGTGCTCGTAATTTTTAATAATTCAAATAAATAATTAAACGTGTAAAAGCTCTAAGATCGGTGTTACAGTTACGACGTGATGCAAATTAAGCTCCAAAGCGATCCAACATATTAAATGCCGCGAGCTTTTCCTTTTTGCGTGTCATAAATCCAGATCGCGACACCAAAATATTGAATGGTGCCAAAATGTCACCGGGACGGCAAAGATGCCGACAAAGAGACCGCCGCGCTGGGTGTTCCCTATACCACCGCACCGAGCCAAGCTGAGCCCCCATTTTTTCATTTCATTCAATTTTGACTTCTTTCAAAAGGCTATTAATATAAGCCGAATTTTTTAAACAGTTTAAGGGCGATGTGGTGCATTGTTGAGGGCATTTTTTAAATCTGTTTCCGTAGGATACCGCTACCGATTTATAAATCGCTCGAGCCGCGATCCCGACGGATCTCGATGTAGGCGAATTAAAACATGATGTGGGTTTAACAAAAAACGCAACGTTAATAAATAACGCGTGTTCCAAAAAAAGAGCAGAAAGACAAATTGGTTGAGTGCGGCATCAAGAAAATTTCGAATCCGTGTTATGATTATTGCATGATATCTTGTAAATTGCATAGGCCCACAATTTGTTGCTGTTTTTATTCTACTTTTGTATCATTATCAAAAAGGATTTGAATTTATTTATTTTTGTTCTTGGTAATAAAAATTATACGTCTCTTGATTCATGTCGAAAATCACAGGAATAATGAACTAACAAATATAAAATCTGGACACATTTAATTGTTACTTCAAAGTATTATAATACCTTATTTAATGTCCTATTTGAGTGTAAAATGTTGATTACCTACAGGTAGAGGTTCAGATTCCTCTGACATTGAATCAGAGCCAGGGTTAACGCTGAAGAGGAAGCAACGCCGCTCCCGCACCACCTTCACAGGCGAGCAACTAGACGCTCTAGAAAGAGCTTTTCATAGGACACAATATCCAGACGTCTATACAAGAGAAGAACTGGCATTGCAGACTGGATTGACGGAAGCCAGGATTCAGGTAGTTTTTATTTTTTAATTTGAGTAATCAGTGACAGTTTCAGTCAGACAGCATTTAGAAACAAAAGAGGTTTATTTGGAGACTTAATTTATATTCAAATATTTGCTCAAAACTGTTATCAGTATAAATTATAAATAGGTATGAATCCAACCATAATCATTGTTAAACACTAAAAGAAGTTTGCTATCGTAACTGTATTTGTTTTATTAATGTAAAATTGTCATTGTCTTTTTAAGTAACAAGATTACAGTACACTTCAAAGTGAACGTTTTTTAATTTCAGGTTTGGTTTTCCAATCGTCGGGCTCGTCTTCGTAAACATACCGGTTCAAATACTGCTCAGACACTAGCTTCCTACTCTACGATACCCATGCCACAAATACCTTGTCCCTATCCAGCGGGAGAAATACCCAGTCTGTCACAACATCATCCTCAACACAGTGATAGTTGGCATCATCAGAAGTATGCCAACTATAATCACTTAATGGCTCAATCTCAACATTTAAATCAAGCATTCCAAAGCGCTGCTTTCCCCAGTACATCAGGTGCAACATTCGGTCATCTCGTCTCTGGTAGTAACGGACCACCTCATAGTCAAATATTAGATCCAAACATCCCAAGAAACGACTATCCACGATATGCTAACAACGAAATTTACAACAAAACTATAAACTATCTACCCAAAGAAAATGAAGGCGAAGATAAAGTCGCAGAAGAGGTTATAGAGCCACGAGACGAGCCTTTTGTTAAAGCGACACCGAGTGACTATACCAAGGAGTTACCAGGTACTGAATACCCTAAAGTTCCTACGGATTATTCTAAAGTACCAATAGACCCAACATCTTCTACCAATTGGAGTCCATCACACAGTTCTTTGAATATGAGCTTAGGCGGTATATCAAGCGAATACAAGTATATGAATGATCCATATTCATTCCCAAACATGGCGGATCCTCTCAACCAGCACAGTTACCCTAATCCTCCGCACGCAACTAACAAATATTGGATTTGACACAAAATAAAAAAAAAAATGTTAATGTATTTAAAAAGGCTATGTTATTTAGATAATATTAGTAAATTTAATTGTAAGTATATAAATAGCAATTTAAAAATACCTCTATTAAGCATTCCAATAATTATACCTTTGATAAAACCAAATTGTAAAAAAATAGTTGTATTAAAAGTCAATAATAAATGGAAAAATATAATTTTATTTTTTTGTTCTTCCTCCCTATAAAATACTACAACTTAAAATATCTCATGTAGGTGTTGCAATTTTCTTTTGCCAATAGACTAAAACATCAGATTTATAACTATTACGGGAAGATTAATTAGGATAGGTAAGTAATACGAAGATTTAAAAAAAGATCAAGAAAACAAAAACCAAGTATTACAATATGTACATTTATTTCGATTTAATAATTTTAATGACAAGAATAATCAGAATTTTAGTCATTTTTACAACAATTACTTAGAAATTAAATTGGTTAATTTTAGTACTTTATAAACTAAAGTAGTAACTATTTTATAAGAATTCAATAGTAAGATATATCACTGCTGTACTATATCTACAACTGCTGCGCCAGACTCAACAGGGACTGGGGTATTAATTGGCGTTTCCTGCGTTACCGAATCAGTTTTTAAGTCGTTCGCTAAAGATGTATCTTGCAGTTTTGTTTCGGCTGTTAAAATTTGTTCTGTAACAGCAGTAGTCATTTCATTTATTAGTTGTTGTTCTGAGTTGCTACTTTCAGGATTTGTTTGTTCTTGATTGACAACATTAGAAGATTCGTTGACAGTAGTCGCTGGAGTTATTACTTCAATGGCTTCTGTTATCACTTGAGTTTGGTTTTCATTTACTGTTAAAGGATTTTCACTTGCTTCATTGTTGGAAGTGTCTGTACTAATGTTTGTCGGTATGTTTTGCATGCTATCGCTGTTAACATTTTTAGATACTTCAGAAGTAGTACTTGAAACTTCTAATATATTGACAGATGGGTCGATAAAATCGCTAGCTACTGACGTAAGTGATGATTCTGTAATATCAGAAGCAGATGAACTGGAAGATACAACACTGCCATCTACTGCTGAGCTTGATTCCAAAGCAATATCTTTCATTGGAATTTTAGAATCCGTATCCGAAGGCGACTTTGGTTCGTTGGCATTGCTGGAAGCAGGGCTTGTGTTTTCGTTGTTATTATTAGATGTCGTCGAGGATGTTTCAAGGGCATCAGAACTAGGTATTGAAGAAGATGAAATAGCACCATTGGTTGTTACTGCATCCGCGGTGTTAGTAACTTCATTATTAGAATATTCGGTGGCACTATTAGTATTTTTATTCACAACATCGACATTTTCATCTATGTTTAGATTTGTACTATCACCGGCAGATGGAACAGCGGCGGATGGGTTGACTTCAGAGGGAGTAATTGCAGCAGTTTCACCGTTGTTTCCATTATTTGCGCTATCTGTTGCTGTTGAGGACTTCTCGTTAAGATATGACCCACTTACTTCTGAGGTAGCCGTAGTAACAGTCTGCGCAGATTCTTTTGTTACACCTGTATCTGATTTTGTAACTTCTACTGTGACAGAATCTGTTTCAGATGGTAATTGCGCATTTGCTGAATCTTCATTGCCAGTAATTGTAGCACCATTTGTTTCTGTGGCTAAAGGTGTTGGAGAATTTTCACTAACGGTACCTAATTGATTTACAAGATTTGATTCATCAATAACTGAAGATTTGGGATTTTCTGAATCTACTAAAGTTGATTCTGACACGACAGATGAACTAGTTGACATTGACGCAGCATTATTATCAGAAACTGGAGAACTGTTTGGTACATTATCTTCAGTGTTACTTGGGCTTACATTGCTATTTGTATTAATAGTATCAGTTGGATTAGCATCATTAGTTTGTTGAGATACAATAGCAGAATCAGGGGATATTATAGAATCTGCGTTAGTCACCGGCACACCTTGTTGTGGTTTTTCTGTGTTCCCATTAAACCAGTTAGGTAACAAATTAGACAAAAACTGTTTGATGGTCTCTAAAAACGAAACCTGTTCTTCAAGATTTTGTTTGGCAATCGGAACCCAAGTGAAGTTAACATTATTAAGTGTTTCCGTCTTATTCTTTAATTTTTCAATATCTCCTTCCAATTTTGTCCGAATCTTTTCCACACCCACATAATTTATGTAGTCGATAAATTGACTTCTCAAGGTGTTAATATTTGGTACTTTCTGTAATTCAGATTGTATAAATTGAAGTACTGCTTGACGGCGTTCGCTTTGGGTACTATTGGCATTAAGCCCCAGTTGTTCTTGCATATACTTTCTTAATGCCGCTCTCTTCTCAACATTGGTATTATCCTCAGTTATACCATATTTGGAATAAATGTGTATTTTCCAAATATCTTCTAATTCTATTGAATCAACATCCGAGTCATCATTATTTGACGTATTGCTGTTATTTTCTTGCCTTTCCTGTTCATTTTCTTCTAGTTCCTTGATCTCTTTTTGGATCTTTTCTTGTCGTTTACGTTCATTTTCCTCTATTTTTTCTTGAATTTTTCTTTGTTCCTCTTCTAATTTCCTCCTTTCCTTTTCCAGTTTTTCTTCCCATTTACGTTGTTCCTTCTGTCGCTTCTCTTCTTCTTTCTGCAATTCTTTAGCTATTTTCTCTTCAATTTTACGCTGAGCTTCTTCTTGCTTTAATCTCTCTTTTTCTTGTTTCTCCAATAGTTTTTGTCGCATCCTTTCAAGATTAGCAACACGTTTAGATTGTTCCTTTACATCAGTTTCATCCGTTGAGTTGTCACTGTCATCATTTTTTGAATCGTTTTCGTCATCGTCTTCGGATGATGTATCAGAATCCGCTAAATCGAATCTCTTAAAGCGACTTAAAGACTGGTCCGAATTTTCCCATTCCTCTGGTAAGTATTTAGCGCTTACTACACAAAGGCCCGCCTGAAAGAATTAGAAATGTTATTAAACTAGTTTTTATTAATATTGCAACTCAGTTGTTATCTACCTCCCTAAGAACGTAAATGTGTATTTAAATTGGTTAACCGAAAACGATTCTCAAAATATCAAATGTATAAACAAGTACTTAAACATACAGAAATATTTTTGTAAACATGATACAACTATTATTCACTAAAGTCACTCTTCTTCATTTCCATCACAACTTTACATCGTTTAAGAATTTATGGAAACAATTACAAGAAAAAAAATACACAATAATAGTATAATAATATTACCAAGTAGTAGTAGTAGTATTATAACAAGAAATCGAGTAACTTAATTTTAATGCAAAAGTTTAAAAAATAAAAGCAATCTTAAACAATATTTTAATCCTAAGTCTAGAGAGACTTAGGATTAAAATTGCCACATAATCAAATCGTACTTTAGAAATAATAATATTTTTTAAAATAAAAATTTATAATTAAATTAGCGGTAAATCACGGCACTTAAATGAGATGTATGTATGTTGTAAATCTTTGCATGCAATTTCATGTTGAATCGAATAGATAGTCATATTATATTGGCAAACAACATATTATTTCATTTATAAAAGAAAAATTATTTTAAATTAAGAAAAATAAAAAACAATTAATAGCAAATATATACTCACAATAAGTAATATAATAGATAACTTCATTTTAGGCTTAATATCGTAAATCGTTCGTTAATAAAAAAATCACAACATTTAAACGCACTTGTTTCTTTTGTGACTCGTTCGTTACTTATAACTTTGAATTTCTTCAACACGTCCTTTTATACTTACCTCAATTAACATTGATAAGACGAGATAATGGCTTGTAGATAATTACCATCTCTTAGTTAAACATCATGTTTTCGCGAACAATGAGTCAGAGCAAACAAATTTACTGTCGCAATACAAGATTTCTAGAGCCGTAGAAAAGTATCAACAAAACTATTTCAAAACCACAGGATGTTTACAACAAGTAATGCATTCAACGGAAGTGTTAAGCCTTCTGTCTACATGTAATCTAATTAACCTAAACTATAATTATTTTTTTGTTTATAATAACTTTTAAGCTTTTAAACCTAGACAATTAGGATATCTGTTCATAGAATTACTAATTCGTTTTCTAACGTTTCATACCACGGTATATTATGTATTTTTAACAATCAAGATATAAACAAAAATATGGAATAAAGAAAGAATACAATTAATTCCATTAGAGAGTCTGTATTTACATACATATTTTGTGCTCATGATATATTTGCCATGATAACGAAAAGTAAATTTTCAAAATTCATGTCTGCCTGTCTGTTTAAGTATAAAAAAGGACTTAATTAATACTTTCTTCCGTATCTTTAAGCACTATTTTAGAGATACTTTGGAACAATTTTAAATTTATATAACTCTTTTAGATAATTGAAATTCAATACAATCTCTAAGCTTGAAAAAGCAATGAAAAACTATTTAGTAACTTAATCTATCCACGTCTTGATACTAAACAGTGAACTTTTTTCATTATCTCTTGTAAGGAGTACGCGTGATCGCATATTAAACATACAAATATATGTACATACGTAGTTTGCATGCTTTTATTGCGCAGTTTATGTCATCTTAACAAACAGAAGATACCCGATGGCTTAAATCTACCAAATTAAGCAAAGAATAGATAAAAATATTAATAAGTAATCTTCCTTAACCATAAATAAGCAAAGATTATCCGATATTCATTTCTACAGACATAAATCGTTTCGTGCGATCGTTTTACATATGTAGGACCATACTAAGATTTTTTTTGCAACAAATCTATTGTTTTAATATAGAAAGCCTTTTAGAAAATATTTCAAATATGTTAAGTAGCTTTGTATACAGCATTTTGAAGTTGACGGTCCATTTTTATGCTATCCAAATACCTATTTGTAAACACCAGTCTAGCAAAATGTAATTAATTATAAAAATATACGTTTACAAATTAATTAATCTTCTATTCTTGGAAATATTTGGATGAAATGCATGTTAGTACTGGGAATTTCTAATGACTTCTTTATCGATGCTATGAAGATCGTTATATTATCATGTAATCAACAATCAATAAATTATGAAATTCCCCATTTATTTTCATTTCTACTTTTGTATATTTTAGGGTTACGGTTACGCAAATTATTGAAGATTTGCCCCTAATGATAAGTTAGCTTATATCACCCAAAATTACCACGTTTTTAGTTAGATTCGCATATTTATTGTGTGAGTTGTACTCTATTTAAGGAATTCATTTGTTATAAATGGATACATGTAAAATAGTACCATAGATAAATACTTTTTTATTTTGTTTTTTACATTCTAATATTTAAAATTAAAAAATTGCATTATCACAAATAAAACGTTGTTACATTGTTGCTTTCACAACGCACACTGATTTCCCGACACGTTTAATCTTGTTGTTTTCTTTTTAATTATATTTTTCTATTACATTCTCGGTGGCCAGTACTCATTCAATATTCATTCATATTATTATAGCAACTTAAATATTTTTTATTCTACAATTTTCTGGTCTAATAAATACATTACTTTTTAATATAAATATACTGCTAAGTTTTTAAATATTATAATATAAGAAAAAAAAACAATTTTGCTCAGTGTCATCTAGTGTTCGATAAGTACTAACCAAGAAATAAGTATATCTTTTAGCGACTGTAATCCCAGGCCACTTTATGGCGTCGGCCATTTTTTGTTTTTCAGTCATACGTTGTACAAAGTAACAACAAAGTAAGAAAACAAAAACATCATGTGCATCAAACATCAGATAAAAATTTTACAAAACTACTAGCTGTCGCACGCGACTACACCTGCGCGATATTTAAAAAAAATCTAAATTGTTGGCTTATGTGTTCTTCCAGACTATGTATTAAGTCTATGCTAAATTTCAGCAAGATCTATGCAGCCGTTCCGGAGATACCATCAAAAAAACATCAATCCATCCATCCAAACATTAGCATTTATAATATTAAGATTAAAAGGAAAATTGCATTATCACAAATAAAACGTTGTTACATCGTTGCCTTCACAACACACACTGGTGTCCCGTCATATTCACTCTCGCTTTTTTCTTTTTAATTATATTTTTCTATTGCATTCTCGGTGGCCAGTACTCATTGAATATTGATCCAAATTATTATTGCAACTTAAATAATTATTATTCTACAATTTTCTGTCTTATTTAATACATCACTTTTTAATATAAATGCTTTTAAATTTTTATTTAATATAAATATAATTAAATTTCGCTCTATAAGTACTAACAAATAAATATGTATATATTTTAAAAACTGTATTCCCACGCCAATTTGTGGCGGCGACCATCTTTGTTTTTCAGTTATACCAAGTACGTAAGAACAATGTATGAAAACAAAAGAATGTGTGTTAAACGTCAGATTTAATTTTTATTTATTAATTTTTTTATGCAACTATTCTATTTATCTTTATACTATTTGTCCTTAAATATTGTGCATACAGAATATATCTCACGTCAAAAAGTATTATAGTATCTTGGGTCGGTGTGCGAACAGTATCCGTTCGCTTCATCAAACAAATAAGTGACGCAAATATACAAACATTGCGTAACACTCTCATATTAAACTCAGCTGACATCTGTACACATTTCATTGATAAAATTATAAATTTATAAATGTAATAACTCCTTTCCTGTTGATTACATAAACGATTAAAAAAATATATAATAATATTATAAATGTTGGAATGTATGGACACAAAAGGACGGATGTTTGTCAGAAGGTATCTCCAGAACGGCAGTATGGATCTCGCTGACATTTGGTATAGGTGTAGAACATAATCTAGAAGAACATATAAGCTACTGATTTTTAATTCCGCGTGGACGGAGTCACGGGCAACAGCTAGTATGAATTATGTGAACCAATAAGAATTAGAATCTATGGAAATCTATGCACTATGGTTGAATATGATAAAGTGATTTTTTGAAATGCTGTCTATCCCTTTAGATAGTAATTTAGGTAACAGTCGTTTTGCCTAAACGAACCTTATTACTTAATACGTGTTTATATACTTAAAAAGTACTCATAAATAAATCTGAATATTATTTACATTACTAAAATGAGCCCGAAAATAATATTTGCCAAGGATCGTATTGCTTTTAAGGCTTTGTTTGTATTCTTTCAGAGAACATACAAATTGAAATCCATTTCAAGCGACTGAATATCACAGTCGTTTACATACTTGAATATTTTCTAACAAAAATAAAACTGTAACATGAAGGAGGTATAAAACTAAAGGCCGTTGGGTCAACTTTTACTTTTTAATTACATTATTAAAATGTAAAGTTAACCGCCAGTTACACAAGTAATCATATCATTCGAGTAGTATTTAAAGATTCGATCATAATGTTTACAATTAAAAGGAAAATATAGGCATGAATCAAGGAAAACATACGCGACGTAGCAAACATGTCTTTCTACGTGACGAGTTTACACACGATTACAACTATAAACAACTTACTTACAATATATTTAACTATGACTTACCATTGAGGCTCGTATTCAGGTCGCAAATATTCTATATCAAAAACATGAATGAATTAATAAAATCAAACTTCTTTTATCGATTTCATTCTGGAAGTGAATAGGAAATTAAATATTACATGCTAAAATTATCAGTATATTACATATATTTCTTATTTTGTATAAACGTACATAAAATAAGTTTAAATTCTATATAAGTTTTACTTATTACATTGTTACGTTTTACACTTATGAAATAAGCAAATCCCTTTAATATCTTGCATAGTTCTAACGCTGCTTAATAAATTTGCTATTTGAAAACAACAGGCGTACCATTATACTGTGTAACGCTTCTTATTAGATATGGTTTAGACGAGAACAAACATTAAATCATATTAAAATAAGTAAAATTATTGTTAGATTGACATTCCTTAAATTATTTCATTCTCCGAACAAAGTAAAAAACATTGTTTGGGACAAATAAGCTTATTTACATTTGTTAATGTATTAAAACCAAGTCTTAATAGTAATCAATAGATTAAGTAATGGGATAGTTAAGTTTAACTTTTTCGTTGTGCAGAACAAATAATATGCGTGATTTGTATACTTGTTGCTATGATATTTTAGTTATTTTTACTCATTATTATTGTCTCTATGCAAATATTATTTTGTAAACTTGTTTATTCTATTCAACGGGCTTATTATTTGTTATCTGTTTTGAATAAATTTCCATTGGGAAATCCATATCTGCGGTATCTAATTGGGTTGTTAACAATAAGCCGTAAGACAACAAACACTTGTATATAAGATTCACAAACTAACATTGAATTAATAATCGTTATTTGAAACGCGATACTTCAATACTACGAATTATAATTCAAAATGGCTGTGAAAGTTGCATTATGTTTCGTTCTATTGGTGAGTAAAACATTTAATTTAAAATATAGTTGAGCTTTTTACGTAAAGTTGTTGATAACAACAATGATAATGTTTATTACAATTATCTGTAAATATACTAATTAATATATTTGAAAATATATTATTCATATGCATAAATACGGCGATCATTAGCTGCCGACATAAAGACAATCGGGCTGACATGGCCCAAGACCAAACGCAGAGCCCAAGATAGAGCGAACTGGCGACGCACTGTGGACGCCCTCTGCGGGGACATAGGACTTTAAGTCATATGTATATAAATATATTTTCCAGGTTGCGGTAACATCAGCTTTGCCAGCACAGCCGGGCAATGGCTGGGCATGGGGCGGTGGTGGTGTCAACCCATGGATACCACCATGGGTATCCGCCGCACCTTGGTACCCACAATGGTCACCTTGCACTACCATTGGAAGTACTTGCCTCGATTGCAATACTAAGCTGGTGTGCACTAAGATCGGCGGAATACAACGTGCTTGCAGTGACCCTACTCTACCATACTGCAACTTGGGCGAATGCTCCGCTACACCTTCGGAAGAATGTGCTCCAGCTGAAGGTCAATCTACAGGCGCGGAACAATCTGTCTAAATAATCAGTACAAATTTATGGAATTGGCAACTTTTGTAATAATTTTTGTTAATTTTAATTGTATTTATATGTACTCAAATGTAACTCATTGTCATAATAAAGTTATGTAAGAAGCAATTTGTTGTTTTTATATTTATTAATTTAATCTGGCAATATTATAAAAGATCTTAAATTGAAAAGAGGCACAATAGCAGTTACGTCATGTTTTGTATACAGTTGTTTGTCCAATTTGGAGATCTGTTATAATGAAATGTAGTTGAAATGGAAAACGAGAAACCTTTGACGGAATGCAATTGTTTTTTATTAAACACTACTTTATCTCAACCCTACCAACTCTGCTATAACAGTATGCAGGGTAAATAAATGGTGTCGCAATTTATAACCATTTCGAATAATTACCAATTTAGGCGGCGTGCGTACAGGGCTCGACTATAAATATCGTAAGGCAACAAAGCCTGCCAATTTTAACAAAATCGACCTTAATAGACGTTAAAATTATTAAGTTTACCTCTGAAATTAATTTCAAGTACGAGAGTACACTTTTGTCAGATTAAGGTTAAAAAGACTATAACTAATTAATATGATAATTAAATTAAAAACCGAATAAGATTTGAGTGTATTAGGAGCTAGTAGAAAATATGAAAAGTACCCTTTTTAAATAGTCAAAATATTATTATTAATTAAATTATTAATATTATTAATTTACTGAACTATAACAACATTTTAACCCAACTAATACAGACGGCGAGAAGAAAAAATATATTAAAAAAAAATCTAGTAATAATATATCCTATGTCACCTGGCCATAATGTAGCATCCCAACAGTGAAAGAATTTTCATAAACGGTTCAGTGGTTTGAGTGCCTAGTCATTGCAAACAAACAAACAAATCATTCCTCTTTATAATTAGTATAGGCTTTAAAAAAGTATCGGTTGCGTAGTTTTTCAATCATTTGTTTCTATTCGTAATATCAGTAACTATAAATGAAGGTTGGTATTTGTAATGTTGGTTCATCATCATCAGCTCACTATACGTCCCCACCGAGGGGCTGGGAGCCTACCCTAAGTTAAGGGTGATTAGGCCATAATCAACCACGCTGGCCAAGTGCGGGTTGGTTGACTTCACACATATCTTTGAATTACTTCTCAGATATGTGCAGGTCGCATCACGATGTTTTCCTTCACCGTAAGAACGTCGGATAAATGTACATATGTAAATCGGAAATCGAAAAACACATTGGTACATTCAGGGATTCGAACCCAGGACCTGCAGATTGCAAGTCAAGTTGACCACTAAGCCACCGACGCTCCCTAATGTTGGTTAATGTTGCGAAAATTTTATAACGAAATTACAAATGTAACAGTTAACTTTGTACAGTACGATTGTTCAGAAGTTCATTACGTACGAAATTCGTATTATACTTGAACAAAGCCGCAGCAACAGAATTTTGTAATTCCACAAAGAGAACAAAGTTACAAACATTAATTAATAGTACATTTGCAGTACGATTAGGTTTTTTTTTCTATTTGACATTAGGAAAACTGCATAACAGTTCAGTAGTTTGTTTACTTTACGAAATCTAAAAAAATTATTCGATTTTAACCCTTATGTTCATTTTGTATACCAGTAGTATACCATACATATAACTTTATAAAAATATACGATCACTATAAAATAATTTTTAACTTAGTTTTTTGCTTTTCTTCAAAAAAGAAATTTTGCCACAATAAAGGTTAATCGCATAATTAGTAACCACTTTTAGCAACCTCTATTATACTCTAATTTATATGCAAAGGGTTTTTTTATCTGTCTACTATACACTTATAAGATATGTCATGAATATTGACGGTAATTAACAATTTAACAAAACCATTGTATCCTAGCAGTTCCCCATGTTGTGGCCCGCTTGGAATTAAAAAATCTACACATAAGTATAACCTATGTCACCCGAGGATAAGTGTAGCTTAACAACAGTAAAAGAATGTTTTAAAATCGGTTCAGTTTCGGAGTCTATTGCATTTGCATTGAGCAAGCAAATAATCAAATCTTTCTTCTTAAAATAGACAATGATGATATTACTATTAAAAAAAATTAATTTAAATTACGATATTAAAAAAATTTCAAGTAAATAAAGTAATTTTAAATTATTATTTTTATACGGAAACACATTTAATGCATTAGTTTGATGTTAAATAATATCATAAGACAAACGCAAATATTTGGAAGCAACATTTCTCTAAATATTTTTAAAGCTGAAAACGATTAGTAGTTCTTTGAATAGCTTATATGGTATTTGGGAATTCCCATTTGTTAAATGGAAAACAACTATAAGTAAATAAACATTATCAAGAAATCTGCGTAAACAGGAGTTTCCACTGCTACGTGTTAATATCTCATTTTTTTAAAGTGCGAGAGAGAAGATAATATGTTTTTGTACAAATACTTCGGCGATGAAAACACACGGTAATCTAATATTGTTATCGACCGAGGCTGGAATGAACGAGTAGAAATATGTACAATAACATTCCACTGTTGACTTCGGAAAATCCTAGGCTTTTAGAGATTTCCTTGTTTGCAGTCTACGAGGGGGGTTAGTCAATGTGATAAGACTCCACATATAAAGGTAATGCACTACGATGCACATTGTATTTTAAGGAATAGATTGATAAAGTGCAATGGCCCATATTAAAGCATTGGTTTTCTTCGCCTTGGTAAGTGTGTATTGACATTTAACATAAAATCTCCTTGGTGTTCCCGTGTTTCGATTTCTCAAATAAATTAACTGGCATTTATTTAACATCTATTTTCTACAACGATAAACCTACATCTCACTAGGACTTTTTTTTATAAGCAATCATTTAACTTGAAATGTATGTACGTTCGTGTGGAATCTTGCAACTTACTTTTGAAGCAGATATATTTTTTATTCTGGATTAAAAACAGATATTAGCCGATTCGCAGACCTACTGAACATGAACGTAAAATTTCTTAAAAATCAGTCCAGCCGGTACGGAGGAGTATGGTAACTAACATTGTGACACGAGAAGGCTTAAGGTTATTTTATTTTTTGTTGTCTTTCTTTAACTGTTCAATTGTATTTCAGGTGGCTCTTACAGCTGTCAGTTTAGCACAAGTGCCTCAAATTGGACCCCAGAAACCGCAATGGGGTCCGCAGACATACTCGCAAAATAATGGAAAAAACGTCGAGGTGGTTGGAAAAGAATCCAAACTTCTGCCATCATGGACAACATGCGATCCTTTGGGACCAAAAATGTCTTGCAATGATTGTAACACTCGAGTTATTTGCAAACCTTCAGGTGGTATTTTAAAGCCATGCGGTCCGTGGAAACGTTACTGTAATAACGGAATGTGTTCTGCAATACCATCTCCTGAATGTAGCGCTGTATAATTTTTTTCTTTAAAATTAAATATATATTACATTGTATTTCTTTTGTTTATTTTCATATATATAAGATGTGTTTATATATGTACTTAATGAATGTCTGATATTCTATTAACCTGTCAATCTTGTTTCTTTTGAGGAAGTAAACATATAGAGACAACTTCACGATTTTCATTCAATATTATCCTTAATATCTAAATGACAATTATTTTCATTACTGAACGAGCAAATATTGTCTTAGTTCATGTATTTCTTTTGTAATAATACTCCAGGGTTGTGAAACTAACTTATTATACTGAGAATTATAAACAATACATTAAAATAAATTTCTGAGCCCCTCTTATTTTTGAAAAATTCTGATTTATTTCTTTCAAATATATATACGAGAGAAAATTAAATGGTTTACTGTGGGCTGCAGTTTACTGACTTTCATATTACTATAAACATCATTTAATTCCTGTTTCCATTATAATTATGACTACTACATTCTACTTAATAATGTTATTCTTAAGGTACCTTTTTATTTTATGTTTTGGCAACCCTATAAGCTTACGTTAACATAATAAATAATATATGATGGTCTATTATTTTCAAGTAATATTTAAATCCTTCTCGTCTGCAAGGAGTTCACAATTTAATTTCATATTCTCTGAAGTAACATTGAAAAGTATCAAGAATGGGTCTAAACAAGTCAAACTGTTTCCTGCTTTTAGTACTGGTAAGTTTTGATACTTTCATCGAACCTACTTAATGTTTCTTTATCATATAAAAAAGCCATATTCGAAATTGTAATAAGCATTTTGAAAATAGAATATTATGCTATCTTAGTAGTATCAAATACTTAGCACCTACTAGCTGTCGCCCGCGACTCCGTCCGCGCGGAATTAAAAAAAAAGTGTAAGTAGTAGCCCATGTATTTTTCCAGTTCTGTATGTTTGCCAAATTTCGTCAAAATCCGTTCAGCTGTTCTGGAAATACTTTCTAACTAACATCCATCCATCTAAACTTTTGCATTTATAATATTAGTAAGACTACATTTTTGTACGTTAAACAGGTAGCTTTGGCTATTATAAGAGAGAATCCAGCAAACTCTGAGGATGCTGGTTCACAAGGAAAGAATAGATTGACGCTCGCAAGATGTAATTATTCTGAAGTGGTAAGTTGATAAGATTATTTCATTTGCTCTTTTTCCTATATGACAATCTTCAAAATTACGAGACAAGAAAGTATATGTTACATACGTCCAAGGCGTTTTGTAATTAAAAGGTACAGTCGTGGAAATCCGCAGTGATCCAATTACAGAAACAGTATTGACAAACTTCTTATATTACAAATAAATTAGGTAGTTGCGCAAACGACGGAATAATAAAAGCACTGTCCGACCTTTTTTTACATCACATTTAAAAGCTGCGTCCACTTGGCTATTGTTCTCAATGTATAGAAAACATTCAAACTACTAGATTTGATGATCGAACACCGACAAATACTCTAATTGTACATAGAAACATATAATAGATACTTGGATTAGCTCGATAACTGGAAGCTCACCGAAACCAATGAAGTTTAGAAAATTTCTTCGTGAAAAAAAAATGGCATAATCTCTGTTCCAGGGTCTCCGTTCATGCGCTTCTTGTCTTGACGCAATATTGTGCACGCCACTGAATGTTGGCATTGTTCGTCGCTGCAAAGGCGACAAGAATAACTGCAATAATGGCACCTGCACTGATACTCCCAGCCCCAGCTGTAATTCCACCTCACCGCAACAGAGGGTATGATTCCAACGATTCACATTAAATATACAGCCGAGGATATTAATTTCCTACCCTGCGGTGAAATGTCATTTCACACACATAATGGTGTTAAGACAAAAACTTGTTATACAATAGGTGCCAATTAATGTTGCTGTTTAAATATATTTTTAATTGACAAGAACGCTTAATAAATAATAACGTTTCATAGAAGGGTAAATGTGCAGCGTATGAACTAAAATTATTTGATCCAACGGCCAGAAATCGCAGATGCTTTCCCTACTACATACTGATATTTATTTTCTTATTTTGTTCCAGCGTCCCACCTTTGGTTTTACTATAAAATTTTAGAGATCAACAAAACGAAACGTCCCACATTGGTACAAAATATTACAGATGAATAAATATATTATGCAAAATGATTGTTTTTTTTTCGTGATTTAAAATAATTTCAACCTCATCAGTTCACTATATGTCCCCACCGAGGTGCTCGGAGCCTACCCTAAGTTAAGGGTGACTAGGCGATAGTCAACCACGCTGGCCCAGGTTGGTTGACTTCACACATATCTTTGAATTTCTTGTCAAATATGTGCATCACGATAATTTCCTTCACCGTAAAGCATAGGATAAATGTACAGGTGTAAATCGGAAATCGAAAAACACATTGGTACATGGCGGAACTCGAACCCAGGACCTACGTTTGCAAGTCAAGTTCTTGACACCTGAGCCACCGACGCACTAAAAAAAATTTAAAGAATTTTCTAATTATTTACAAAATTACATCTTATCAGAAGATTGTAATATATTTTAGAAAAATGTCTCATAATAGTTTTATTGAGTTTTCATACAGATGCCGTCAGAAGATGCCTTGTAAAATATTAGAATCTTTTGTAAAGGTTTTTAATATCTCAGAAGCGACGTATTTTCCATTCAAACGTAACTTGAAGCTTAATTAACATCGAACAGTGGAAGGCGTGATATCTAAGATGCTTCATGACTTTCAAAATGATACGACACAAATTCACAAAAGCCATTTATTTTGATGGGGAATTTTAACAACATTTAATTTACAGCTGTAGGTATTCACGGTTACGGTTATTAGACGGTTAGACTTTAATAAATGTGACATTTCATAATGTTTCAAATCTTACTTTTTAATAGATTCGAAAACTTACCAAATTATATTCTTCCTCTTCCTAAAAAAATGGAATATGAAAATTGCGTAATGCAATTGAATAATTGAAAGACACCGATATATTTTTGAGTTAATATTTATAATACTTACATTATCTGTATCCAAATGTTTTATAAATATTTAAAGTTCTATAAATATTTTATTACAATACTTATTATTTGTAGAAGGTTTATAATAAATATAATTAGCTGCTTCTACGAAGGAAAGATCAAACTAATGTAATACAATATCTCGCTTTGATATTTCATCACGATTTCATTTCCAAAGCGTGTTTGACGCTTTTACTACAAATATATCTGTTTATTTACGGAAATAGTAACAATACATACATAAAGAATAACGTCATCAACTTAGAATTATTTAAAACGTACCAAAGATGTAAGCAAATACGTATAGTATTCCATGTATAGATATTATATTCTCTCTTCTTCTTTGTTTATTATATAACAAAGTCCTTATTGTTATTTGATTGTATATCGTTGATATATAAACTGTGTAGCGGCGAAGGTATTCATATTCTACAACAACTTCCAACAAAATGGTGTTAGGCAAGTCACTTTACTTCCTTCTGGCAGTGGTAAGTAACCAATCTTAATATCTCCCTTTTCCCTGCATATTTTTTCTAGTATTGGCTATACTCGCGTATATAATACAAATTAAGGCAATAAATTATTAAGCTTTTCATATATTTTTTTATTATTTTCGTACATTAGCTCGCTGTGCACTTAATCACTGCACACCGACCTGGTGGTAGACCTGGTGGTCCCGGAGGACCAGGGCGTGATGACGAGGGCGACAATCAGGATAGATACAAACACATCGTCAGATGTAACTACACCGAAACTGTGAGTGGAATGTCTGTAAAATATTGCACGCCTGTTGTTATTTACTAGCAATCATTATATAATTTCTTTTTAAATAATTGCTAGTATTAATTGAATTAAGTACTGTACTGGGTGTTAAAACAAATTAGCCAATTTATGTACACCACATATGCAAAAAAATTAGTTGAAGGAATATATTTTTAACAGAGGACGGAGGATAAAGGTATTATCTTCAAATCCTATTAGGCAAGTAAGACATATTTTTATTTGCTTTTACAGCCCGGAAAAAGTTGCGTTAGTTGCAACCAGACGTTGATCTGTTCTCGCCTCAATCTGGGTATAGTGAGCACCTGTCGCAAACGTAAGCCGCACTGTAACCAGGGTGCCTGTTCCACCACGCCGAGCAACAACTGCACGTCTACACAATAAACGTAACCACATTAATTTTTAAGCACAATTATGACTTCTTTTGATGGTATAATTTCAAGTATCTTTATTGTAAACTGTACAAGCTTTATTTTAAAAGTATACAATTAAAAATAAACATACTAATTAAAACCCTGACTAGACTTGATGCTTCTGCGACGTACGACGAAGTTTTTAAATAAGCTGTCGCCCGCAACTTCGTCCGCCCAGAATAAATTAGTAGCCTCTGTGTTCTTCCGGACTATTTCTTACATATATGTCAAATTTCAGCGAGATCCATGCAGCCGTTCTGGAGATACCTTGTAACAAACATCTATCCATCTAAACTTTCGCATTTATAATATAAGTAAGATGTTAGTATTCACAATTTATCAGGTTTTTTTTATTTTCAGGTCATGTGAATATTTGAGCTGAGGATGAAATCTGCTTTGCATCTAATATATTTGCCAATAAATTATTAAATAATATGCAGCAATTTGTTTTCTTTACTAAACGTCATCCGGAAAAGTAATAGCAAAATTAGGGTCATCCAAAATAGTAACATTGACTACAACTATTATATAATTCCTAAATAAGGATGACTGTAGCCTAGTCCTTTTTTTCTCACCCCTATCTTACTTTAAGGTAGGCTCCGAGTTCCTCAGAGGGACGTTTCGTGAACTAATGATGATTTAGAGCCATCGCTGCTTAGATCCTTAGTTAAAAAATGTAAAAAAAAAATTGTCGCAACGACACATAGGCAATTTTTTTCTATGACAATAAACCCTAATCCACTTATAAACTGAAATAACTTAGTTCCTAGCTTTCGCTAAATAGCACTATGGATACGGATATAAGGAGTAAGTAACCTAAGTTGTCGAATAGACAAAGTCTTATGATTAGTTTAATGAGACAAATCAATTTAGAATAAAAGTACCTTCGCTCAGCCTCTCGTTTAAAAGGATCAGGAGTGGACGGTTGCGCATTAACCTTAAATCGCCTAATTACTCACATAATTTTTTTTCTCTTTTAACTCAGACTTCGACAGTTTTTATAGACGAGACTTAATAATACTGATTAGTTGAAAAGTCTTTATACATCTATCTATTGGGAAATTAAGTACTCAAAATTCATTTCAAAATCTGAAATCTGAATCTAATAAATTATTCGTTTTTAATATTTCAATTATATGTATAGTTACGTAAGCACCTTATTACTTATGTTAGATTAAGTAATGTTGCTTCTTGTTTATCTATAAATTATTAAACCTTCACAACCAAAAAAAATAATCTCAAATTTTAAAATTAGTGAAGAAAAGCCTGATGTTACGTGCTAGCCATCTGCGTCAACACAATGTTATCTAGAAATTATGCCTACTTTCATTGAACACAACGAACAGGCATCCTTTTTCCCTTGCCATCCTTTTATTATAAGGAAAGTATGAGAAGGGGACGTGGATTTGACGAAGGAGGTGACTTATGTAGGGAAAATATTTTCTTTCTGTGCGTTTTTTAACGTATTAAACGTATGCAAGGCATCTGCAATTGCAGATGTCTATAGGTACACGGTATTTCGACGAAATCAGGGGGGCGCTTGCTCGTTTGCCAAGTTTTAATATAAACAAAATGAAAATACAAAAATCATCTCATGTATAGTATCCTCCTCTAAATTATCTAGAATCTGCTTACTATTCCCCCAATTTACGTAGAAAAAGCAAAACATAATTTTTGCCTTCGAACAGATTGATTTATGGCTCATTCAGTAGGTCGGATAACGTCAGTATCAATAAAACCTGTGCCAGTACCTTAAAACATACCATAAACATAAACATAACCAGGGCCGATGCTATTAACAAGCTAAATCTGCGCTGCTAATAGACATATAGAAAAAGTCTCCGATATTAATTATATAGCAAATAAATAAATTTATTACTATACCTGTTTTTTACGTTGTTTCATTTGAAACCATTTAATTTTCGTTAACATCCTACAGAAGAAAACATATCATAAATCTGTAGAATTACCTAAAAAATTGTAAAATATTAAATACGCGACAAATCTTATCTTACTTCTTAGTAATATTATGAATGCAAATGATTAGATGTATGGGTGGATGTTTGTCAGAACGGCTCTACGGATCTCGACAATATTTGGATGTAGGACATAGTTTGGAAGAATACATAGGCTACAAATTAAGTTTTTTTTTAATGCCGTGCGGACAGCTAGTCTTTTATAAAGACTATACGTCCACAATCTGAAGAAAGATTAGTCTATTCAGTAGATTTTGTAAATAAGAAGAAATTGTATTTACTAATGGTTCATATACAATCATAATTAAGTGTAAATAATACAAAGATACAGAATTTATTTTCTGTATTTACAGTTATATATGCCGACCAATATTTCAAAACAAATCTAGAAAGTCCATATACAACTACACGCTGCATGCAACACGATCTCACGAACCATTTATTCATCTAAAACTATAGCTAGTATCTATGATGCTTTTTAACATACGATACTTCCGCGTAAATTTGCTTTTCAATTATGAAAGGAACAAGATCAAGGTTGTCGACACAGTTTTTGTACAGGGAGACAAAAGATTATGAGCAACTAACCAAATTATTATATCGTCCCATAAAAACGCTTGATTCTAATATTTAGTTAATGAGAACGCTTCTAAAATACTTCTCGGAATTAGTCGTGTATATTGTATCCAGTGTTCTAATTTATCTTAATCTGGGAAATTCCTTGAATAGTATATATCTGTATTTGAGGACATCCCTGGGTTTTATAAGTTATATATAACCTCTTCGTGTTTCCCGTAATTTAATTTAATTTTCTAAAGTCATCTTTTACAAAAGAGGCAACCCTAGAGCAAACAATAAACTTATTATTTTAGCGACGTATATAAACTAATGCGAAAGCATCCATTGCATTGTAAGTTGGAAAGCAAAATTGCGAGTGTCAATATGATTCTCAGCAATAAGTATATTCTCCTACTTGTGGGATTGGTAAGCTATTATTTCAAAATATTTTTAATAATAAGTCTTATAACTAATATATACTGTCAACCCTAACAGTGAGTCTCCAGTAAAACCTTGCAAAATCAATAACAATCTCATTTATCTGTGAAAAAACTTAAATGTTACGCATACACATGTGAAACGACTTTAAAACGGTAACAAATATAATCATAATTCTGAGTAGAACGTTAAAACAAAAAACAAATGCCGATATCCAAACTATATGTTACAGTTTGCTGCTCACCTGATATTTGCTGAGTCTGAACCACCAAACAACCAAAATGAATCAAGCAACAACTCATCGCAAAGATTCTTTTTCTTCAAACGTTTCGTCAATTGTAACTATACCACTCAGGTAACAAATTGATTTCTTTTATTAGAGTTTGATACTTTCAAATAATTTGAATTACTACTGACAGATTTTCACGCAACTGGGACTGAGGTGTTTGACATTTCAATGTCAAATTACTTGATGATTTTTTCTTTCAAACTATGCAAAAAGACATCACTACTGATATAAATACAGCATAACATGTCACCACTATGAATTCGTGCGTTCCAATTTCAAATTAAACCTAATTACATTATTTGAGAATTTATTTCTTTTTTATTGCTATTCGGAATGTTCGAAAAACTATTCAACCAGTATTAATGTTTTCCAGGCTGGCAGTAGTTGTCTAGGTTGCAGAACAACTTTATTCTGTGCACAAAGTAACGTAGGTGTAGCGCGACTTTGCAAAGGTTTCCTTAGGCCTTACTGCAACCAAGGAGCCTGTTCGAGTGTCCCGGGGGCAGCTTGCAGCGGTTAACATTCCTTTAAATATTTCATTGTGTCTATTAAAACTGACATTCGTATGTTCAATGTTAATTCATAAAGATTGCCAAATGTAGTTAACTTTGTAACAAATAAAGTATTTGAAGACAAAACTAAGTTGTTTTCGAATAATGCTTGGAAACATACATTACCATTTAAAAAAAACAAATTAAAAAAGAAAAAAGTTAACAAGTTAATCATTGCATTAAATTTTAATATTTTTTTCAAACTGCCCTCTTAAATATAACGTTTTGCCGTTTTTAAATTCACAGTATGGTTTTCAATGTCAATAAAACAACAGTTTCGTCATGTTCTCATTTATTTACATTTAACACGACATTAAAATTGATAAACGTAACTACGAATATATTTTAATAGTGACATCGCAAAGAGAAGACTACAGTATATTTTTAAAATTATTATCATTTCCATGGTCACAATATGTTAAATATTTATTGTCAGTATTTTAAGAAGACGCTTCGTAAAAGGTATTTTAGCTCAAAGCTTAATTCACAAATATATGTAGAATTTTTAAAGATATAATTATTTGTCAAACACAGCTAATTCTAGTCAATAAAGAGACCTTATTAATTTAAAAGATATGCAAGATTCCCTAGGTATTTGCATAGATAAATGATATTTAAATTATCACAACTTACAATATTCTAAAGTAAGTTTTAGTGAAGTTTGGAAATTTTTATAATCTACGTTGCTATATTTTTAAACGCATAGACGTTTCGTATTTGCGATTGACAATTTAATTTCATATAATCCTAATTTACTTAATATATTATTTGTCATTTCATAAGTAATTAGCAAGCCATTGTCGTCTTTAGGAATCAGATCTGTTAAATCTTAAAGTAAGTCTTATATAAATAATTAATTCTATAATAAAATCAATTTAAATCACAACGTGTAACATCAAATTCTACGTAAATGTATAATTATTGTCCTATTTAGGATCTTCTTTTGTTTTCCTCGCATATTTTGCCGATGACGATGCTTAAGAGCTGGATAGGTTATATTGAAACTATTGTCCCTTGCTCGAGTTGCGCGATCTTGCATCGCTTCGGCAGCGGCATAGCTACTGATTCTTGCGTCTGCTCGGTAGACTGCTGTTGCGGTAGGTCTTCCTGAGCATGATGTTATCGACGGCGGGCAACAGGAGGTATCTCTTGCCGGACGAATGGTACGGGACCTTAAGTGATCTGAAGTAATGGAATCTGGGGAAGTCCTTGGCGGTCTGCCAGGTATTCTTGGTGAAAGAGTCGATGGCGTTGGAGGAAGCAGGCGGGAGAGCAGAAGGCGATGGCGGCAGGTCGTTCAGCGAGCGGTGGAGGTACCGGCCGGTCGGGTGCGAGTGAGCAAGTACTGGCGGCGGCGGTAGGTCGGAGTCGTCTGAATCGATTGCTGGCTCAGTTTCGGGACTAGAGAAATATTCCCTAGTATCGGAAAAGATGAAGATTAATACTATTATTTATAAGAATAAGAAAACCTGCAGTCTTTTGAAGATTCTGGTAGTAAAAAAGGTGCAAAAAAATTCTCGGTAAATAAGAGCAAACTTGCGAGCTCACCCGGAGCGTTTATATTGACTGCCTCATTTTATTAGATGTAATAAATTTATTATGCTCCCTTTCTTTTACATAAAACGTATTTAAAAAAAAAAACTTTAGTGGACTGTCACAGTTCCTATTATAAATATTGTTACATTAGAGACGTAATTTAACAGTGACTTACCTAACTCCGAAATTCTCGTCAGCGGAATGCTTCCTGAAAAATTCAATATTAATATAGCACAGTTATTTTTAGTTCTATATTTAACTATGTCTTGTTTCGATCACTATTTTGTAGCACAACTAATTGTCATGCGAATACGACACATTTATTCTAATTGACTCAGGAATCGAGCAAATTCCGCCTTTCTTACTCATCAGTTCGGAAGCTTGTGCTATTCTACACACGAATTCAGTCAAACAATGAAAGATATCTCGAACACCGCTCTGCACTTCTAATAACAATTATTTCTACCACCATTAAGAGGCTTCGATCAACAATAAGATAATAAATACTTGAAGCAGATTAATTTTAAATCCATTAAATTAAAGCTATTTCATAAATGTTTCAATTATATTGAAAGTCACTTTTTGTGACTTGATTAATAATCTCTTAATGTTGACCGAAGTTAACATGCCCTTCACAGACGCTACACCATAATCCATATAAAAGCGTTAAAGCACACATTTTCTACTGCACATATAATCCTGACACAATCTATCACATCGATTTTTTATCAAATCTTGACATTACAAAACCTGTATAGTTCCTGACTAGGCAACAACAGTCTGGCTCTTCCAGATCTGCTATAACGGCCTCCTGAGAACCTAAAAGACGGCAAAAGACCTAACCGAGCCAAAGACCCAATATGACGTTTTACGAAATTATCATGGACGTCATCTTCATCTGTAACAGATGGAACAAAAGCACAAACAATTACAAAGAATTATTCATATTAATTTATCAAATTAATTGTATCGATTTAACTCACCTACAGACCTCTTGTCTTCGTTTTCATTGTCATTATCATTGTTTTCTGATGTGTCAATTTCATTATTTTCAATAACGTCGGGCAGAGAAAGTATGTATCTCTTAGTGCGTGAAGTAGGCTCAATATAAATCGGTCTGTACAGTCCGTGCACAGGCATGCCTACAGTTCCTCTTTTGAAATACCAATTACGATCGTAATCAGTTTCATAGGAATTATCACCATATACCAACGGTCCTGCTTCGCTGCGTTTGAAAACTTGCGACAATGGTGGTAACATATCTGGGTTCACAGATTGCTGGAAATCGTAAACTTCATTGATATCAAAAGGACCGTCTATTTCGGACAATGGTGGCACTGGATTCTGATAGAACGGATAATAGTATTCATCACCAGTCATTTCGTCTCTCTTGTGTATCATTCCGTTGCGAGCTAGGGAAGCAATATTGCGTTTCTCATTGGGTTGGTAATGGCCTCTACCGACGCGGTAGCCATCTCTAGCTAATGACTGGATGTTTCTTTTAATAGCTGTGTAACTACGGAGACGGGCTATGGAAGCAATATTTCTTTTCTCATGCGACTCGTCGTCTTCTTGTTCCGGTTTGTCGGCTTCATTATAAGGAGCTCGGAAGGTCGGTAGTTGTCCGTTTTTAGCCAGTGTGGAAATGCTTCTCTTGTAGCTTGGAGATACACTTTTCAGGTAACCCTCTCTCGCAAGGGCAGCTATATTCCTTCTTGGGAATGTCGGCCATTGGTCCGAGGTATCGGCAGGCAGGCTTGATACCTTATAGAAAAATTAGTGAAATTAACATTTAATTTTACTCATTGTATTAAACTTTACACATCTAAGCTAAATCTAAATAAAATACCTGATCAATATAAGTTGTCAGAGCGACGACCAAAGTAATGCCGAGTAAAATGCGATGTCTTCTATTACTTGCTCGGGTAAACCCCTTCATCTAAATTAAAACAAATAAAAAAAAATTCCATAAACATTTTTCTTATTTAAAAGCGTTTATAGCTTACATACTATTATTAGTATTGTACTATGGAGCTTGCAGAACATCGCATCGGATATAAAGTCCATCCATTTTAAAAAGTTTAATAATACATTTTAGTATTCACTACTAGAGCGGTTCCGTTAATTACGTGTCAACCGGAAGATATAAAGTTGGCAGATTCAATTACGGGGGACGAGTTTCAATGCTCGGTACACCTGACTTGTAAGCACAATAGATGTTCAGGCAAAACGCCCGCGCCACCCCTAAGCAATTAACTGCGAATGCAAATAATATCTTTGGCCTCGCTAGCGTTTTCATTTACTTTAATGTAACTTTAAAGATTCATTTACAGAACAATTTTTTAAGCTAATGGTGTTAAAAAAATTAGTTCGTAGAAACATTTTTCATTTAAAATTATTTCTAATTAAATAAAAAACAAAATACAGGAGATATTCGGTTGACAATGACATTAATTTAAACAGACACAATGTCTTACTTTATCAAAACTGATGGCCATCCTATAAGTTATTACGTAGAGTCCTTTAATTTTAATTTAAAATGTGAAATCTCGACTAAGCGTGCATTTATTTATCCATTAAAAAAATCTTGAGTGCGTCCAATAGTGTATTTAGTTCCGTTTCTGTGGTATTTAATAAGCTATTATTAGCAAACGTTGTTTCAAGCCTTCTGTACGTATATTGCGTTATTGCATTCTCTGAATTATTGCTGCTCATTTCGAAATATCGTAACAGAGTCAAAGCATTTCGATACAAGAGTATTTGTATAATTGAAAACCGATCTCCCTATAGATAATCCAAAGTCGATAATTGTAGCCGTCGGTAGCCGATTCGATTCGCACATTAAACAAAGTGTATGTTGTGTTTGAAAATCTAACGTATACATTGATTTGGTTCCCAATTTTTATTTTAATATCATTACTTAATAAAAAAAGGTATTTGTATCCGGCAGAATTACACTGGATTTCTAGTTTCATTGCGTTATTTTGTATATCAAAGATCTTTCGGACATGATGACAGAACTAACATTTAACATAAAATGTAAAAATAAATGAAGTGTCACTGTATTACACTGAAAGTGTACAATATGAAACACTTTCAAACACGTAAAATGAATGCCTAACGTTTGTAAAAGTTGAATGATAAAACAACGCCAACACTAAGCAAGGGAAATGAGAAAACTTAAAATACACCATTTTGACTGACACTGGCATTCACAAAGAAAAACGTTGGCATTCATACGAATAAAAAGAAATCGCTCTACAACTACATATTTTTATAATGTCGATGTATGAAGTAAAATTTAAGGAACCTTTGGCTTAGTGAGGCTGTTGTAATCTATAATACTAGCTGTCGCCCGCGACTCCGTACGCGCGGGATTAAATAATAGATAGTAGCCAATTCTCAGACCTACTCAATATGACACAAAATTCCATGAGAATCGGTCAAGCCGTTTCGGAGGAGTATGGGAATGAAAATTGTGACACGAGAATTTTATATGTATATAAGATCATAAAGCGGAAGAGTTTGTTTGTTTAAACGCGCTAATCTCAGAAACTTCTGGTCCGATTGGAAAAATTATTTTGTTTGTTGGATAGTCCATTTATAGAGGAAGGCTTTAGGCTGTATAACGTTGCGCTGCGACCAATAGTTTTTAAGTATAATGTACAAATTTATTGTTCTTAATTATGATAATTAATTTGTAGATGATAATTAATGTCATAGTAAAATCTTGTCGTTAAATAGCCCAAAGAACTATGCTAGCTAAGTAAGTAAACATCTTGATGAATTCAGTATCCAAATATTAACACACAAAAACGATGTTCATAACAAACACAAATTAATTTTAAAATATATTATTCGAGTCTAATTGAAAGGCACTTGGAAAAGCAATTTCATCTAACCTGTATCGGTTGATAAACCCTTTCGATAAATAATAATTACACTTGAATTTCAATTAACCTTTTATATTTACACGAGTTACCAAGTAAATTTGGTTTTTCTAAAGAATATCGACTCTGCAAATAGTTAAAATTGAATAGAATATAAACTATAACTTTTTGTTACTTTACGTTAATGAAAAATTTATATCGATATTACTTATATCTTTTTTATTTGGCTTGGATAAAAAAATAGCCCCTAAAATTATAGAACAAAAAATGTCGTATTTTACTTTTCCTTCGTAAACTAAACTGCTAAGTTCGGTAAAGTAGGAATATATTAATGGAATAGCCGACAGTAAAAGAAAAGTTTAGTTACTAAAAAAATTAAAACACGAAAATGTTTAAAAATATTAAAGACTTTAACTTTAAGAGATTATTTTTTCATTTTTAATCACATTTTAGGTCCAATAACTTTGTAAAGTAATATAATAAACGAACTCGTAATTTTTACAATTTAATTTGCATTTTAATACATTTGAACATCACGCGAAAAAGTTAATTAAAAATAAATAATATTAATAGTGCATAATATTGTATAACCAATTTATAAAGCTCGGAACTTAATATTTATTTATTTAAAAAATAGAAATAAAAAAATCAACAAATAAGAATATTTTTTAAAACTAAAGTATTTAAAAAGAAGTAAAAAAACTGTATTAATCCCTAATAAAAATGATCACTAAACTCACCTTGGCGCGCAGACCTTGAGCACTTATTAAAGTTGCTATTTATAGAAACTTTTTTATCCTTACTCCTTGGTCTTGCAACTCTGGGATGTTGGCGGGAATGATGGTCCGCTCCCGCGGGTTGAGCTTTTATAGCCGTTTTAGTTGTAAAGTACGCATGCGCTTAAATCCTAAGGGCGGAGTTAACTCAAGTTCAGTCTTCATGCAATGTGCACTTTATTTGATAGCTTTAGAAGGTCGCGGTGATATTTAAATCAGGTACAATGTTACTTTACTTAATAAAGCTTCACACTTTAGTTGTTAGAATTGTATAAGCACACAATTCGTTTAGTATTTAAGCAAAATATTCGCTTTCTATGCATCCTTTGTCGATTTAATATAAGCAACGCATCCGCAATTGCGTATGTCTATAGGAAAAGATCGCTTCGCTATTTCAGCGATTTCAGGCCGCTCGCACGTTTGCCACGATAGAAAAAAGTTTGGTTTATGATATTGTTGGAACGGTGTTCTTATTATTTAAAACTATTCATTCAAATAGCTAGATTTTTTGTACAGATATTTAAGAAGAATAACGAATGATTTATTGTGGTATAAATAAAATAATTTCATTTAAATGAATGGTTTCAGCATAAAAATGTAAACTTATTGTGTTAATAAACAGTATAGAATATATTTACGTTGAAGCCGCATCAGACGGTCTTATTGTGGCCATTGTTGTCTGCTAATGGCCCTTCAAAGTGAAACACTTCAACCGCCTTCAGATATCTAGTGTGCACAATAAAACGACTAGTCATTTAATTGTATTTCAAGATTACACGCTTTTTTCAGATGTTTGAGTTTTTATTAAAATTAGCTGTTCTCCGCGACTCTCGATAAATTATCTCTATAAAACATTTCGTCATGCCTATATGTATTAAACGAAGATTTTGATCTCAAAAACCCACGGATGTATGTTTTATACAGTGGAGAGAAACCAGACCAATCATGTTTTCAATTAATAAAATGTATACTTTGTTAAACCCTCTTGCAATATAAAACAAAATGGAGGTTTACAGTGTTGGCAACTTTATGATATCGTAAACGTTGAAATACTGGTGCTACTGGCATTAACTTACTGAAAGTTGAGGCAGCTTTAAACTACAAATACACTAACTACAGTAAGAGAAATTCTATCGGATATAAAAAATATACATAAAAAGTTTCGTAAAAACTTTGCCAAATAACATTGAATTTGTTTTTTTACTAGCTGTTGCCCGCGACTTCGTCAGCGAGGAATTGAAAAAAAAACTTAACAAGTAGCCTATGTGATCTTTCAGACTTTATTCTACGTCTGTGACAAATTTCATCAAGATTCATTGAGCCATTCCGGACATACCTTCTAACAAACATCCATCCATCTAAACTTAAGCATTTTATAATAGATATCTCACAAACAGTATATCTCCTTTATAGTTTCTCCCGAGTTTATTATATTAAGGTACATCTATTTTTAAAGATGTATTCCAGGTTTAAGTAAAGGGGGAAAGTAATTTTATTTCCTAATCAATTCCGTGTATTTTCGTACATCCATAAAGCAATCCATCGTTCATGTGGAAACTTCGTTTGACATTAGACCCGCAAAGGAGCGCTTTTAATTTGATTGGTATTAGCAAACTCGGCCCTGACTACGTTACACTGGATACTGCCGACATACTGAAAGTCGATATACAAACTTATCGTTGCTTTAAACCGATATTATTCAATAGGATTTTATTAGTAAATAGAAATTAAAAATATGTTAACTTATATTAATAAGAACATGGTATTATTGGAAAATTAGATTTGCACAAAAATATTTTTTTTTAATTTTTTTGGTAAATCAGCCCTAATAGTCAATTTTAATTTTATTCTTTGTACCAAATAGATTATACAGAACTTTCAAAGTTTTCCATGTAGAACAGGAAAACGTAAAGTTTGTTAAAAGCTTTGTTTCACTACCTCGGCCGGATCTGAGACCCGCGACACAAACCATTTCCATCCAACATTTTATATCTCAACTTTTTAAAATAAATTATTTATGTTGCGAAGTGGGTCAATTTTTCTGTAGATTTCTTATACTCGATGTACAGCAAAAAGGTTATTTAATTTGATTTTCATACACTAGTAAACATCTTGATATATTTCAAAATATGATTTTCAACAAATTCATCCAAACTCAAATGTTCATTTCTTTCTATCTACGTACGTTTGTATGTTGAGTCATCATCATCAGCTCACTATACGTCCCCACTGAGGGGCTTCAAGCCTAACCTATGTTAAGGGTGACTAGGTCATAGTCAATCACACAGGCCCAGTCTGGGTAGGTTGACTTCACACGTAAATTTGGATTTCGCAGATATGTGCAGGTTGCATCGTAATGTTTTCCTTCGAACGAACGTAAAATGGAAATCCATAATTCCTATCTACCCCTCTGGGATAGCGGTATTATATTTATTTTTAATGTATTTGAGTGGAAAACTTACGTCAATGAAAGTCTAGTCGGTTATGTGAAACCGCGTTCAAATGTAGGATAATTGGACGTACGGGGAATACATAAATCGTCTTATTACTATCACGTTACGATTTATGGACATTGGAAATGTTCCAGAGCGCGACGGTTGATATGGTATTAGTTGACCAAATCACTTAATAAAAAATTGAAGATGTTGAAAATTCTTTTTTTTATGTAAAAGTTTCTAATAATAATCTACATAAAAGGGAAATCCCAATAAGAACTTCACCTTGGATTTCTCCAAGTTTTTGATTAGAGGTACTCAAATATTCGAAATAAAAAAATTGTGAAATTTAAAACATATATTATTTATTTTAAAGAAAACTTACACTTAATTTTACAGTACCAGAATACAATCAGGAAAAAAATACGTCTTTAACTTTCTAATATTATAAATTTTTAATCTTACTAATATTATAAATGCAAATATGTAGATGGATGGATGGATGTCTGTTATAAGGTATCTCCAAAATTTGGCAATTATAGAACACAATCTGGAAGACCACATACGTTACTAATTAACTTTTTTTTATTCCGCCTGGAGTCGCGGGCAACAGCTAGTCACCTATAAGTTAGTTTCGAGTTGTAACACTCTCAAATCAGTTAACTTGCTTTCAACAAATTCTAAATCATTGAGTCGTTCTAATGTCGTTACATTTGATGGTTGAGATATACTCAAACTTGAAACATTGACTTCTGGAATGCCATCCATTAAAATATCCAAATTTTTAAATATTGTTTCTTCTTTATTTACTCCTTTTGATTGATTATCTAATATTCTAGGTTCTTTAGAAAATTCCGCCTTGAACGGTCTTGACGAAAATGTTGAAGTTAGATTATTTATTTGCTTCAGTACTTCTGAAAAAATTATTTCCAATATAAATAATAATAGAACACAAATCTCTAATAAATAAATAAGTTACAAGACAAATTTTAATATATTTCAACTTTGCAAACAACAAAATCATAAAAAGGTTGTAATTTGTCATCCAAATACACATACAAGATACTGCTCTCTAGAATTATTACTTATCAAATCCCCTTAAAACGACCTTTAAACTATATCTACTCTATAAATATTAATAAAATTGAGATGTCTTTATATCATATAAAAAAAATCGTATGCGTAATGTATTTGCATAGCTGACAATGAAAAAAACATTTTTTTTTGTCTGTCTGTCTCTATGTGTGTATGTATGTCTGTCCGCAAAGCCGGGTAATCTCCGGAGCGGCTAGAACTGATTCAAGCAGGCAAATTATAGCGTACTTTTTATCAGCGTCGACAAAGTCGCGGGCAACCACTAGTTTTATTAAAATATTCCCAAAGTAATCATAAATACCTGAAATCTGCAAATCGACATCAATATGAGTATTATCTTCACAAACTTTATTCATATCTTGTTCGAATGTTAACTGATGTCGATTTAGTACAGTCTTTCTCAATGACGGACGTTTTCTCGGCGAATAAAAACAAGAAACAGAATCTCTTTTACTAACTTTAGAGTTACATAATTCGTCTAAACGAGCTGAGAAATTCGAATTTAAATTTTTCTGTTTTAAATGTTTTGTTAATTTAAAAAGAGGATATTTGAAAGGAGTACGAATATTAGTTCTAGCAAATACACTTCTAGATAAATTAGCCTTTGAATGTACACAGGTTTCGTTATTTACTTTATATACTGTGTATGTGCCATTTTCATCTATTGTTTCCTCATCAAAGAAATTATTTTCTTCCTCGGGACGTAGTAATTTATTTATTTTGTTAATTATCGTATACAGAAGTTTGAGACGTTTGAGCATCTGTTCAAATGTAACTGGTTTTGAAGATTTTTTTACTTTATAAATAAAATCTGATCCAGAACTAAGGAGATTGCTGACCACTTTGCACTCTAATTGTACTGAAATAAAAAAAAATATTAAGAAATTATATTCCTTACAATGTGTTTCAAATCAAATTGAGCATTAATCGCCTGCATATTGGGACATCACAGCATTTCAAAATCAAAACTAGGATAAATATCAGTAGTTTTTTTTAATTAAAACTTATATGTCAATCACAAAATTTAAAAAAAATCATGTAATTTTTTTTGTCAAATCTCCGCTTTCCTAGCGATTTTTGACAGATCGAATTTATTTACATGCATAATCTTATTTGAAATACATATTACACAGCACTGAAAATAAAAAAAAGTTCTTATATAAATCTATATTTACCTTTATTTAAATCTGATAACAACGGAATCAATTGTTCACGCTCTTTGATAGCGTCCGGTTCATATTTATCGTAAACATCAAAAAATTCATAAACGACACAACCAATATTTATAACGGAACAAATCTTATTATTCTCATATACATTATCTTTTATTATTTCCAAAAGTTTTTGTTGCATCACTTGTTTTGCTTTCTGAAATTTTTACACAAAAAAAATAAACATTACTATTCATAACACTTCATTAAAATATATTGTATACTATCAAATAAATATAATTTAACTAGCTGACGCTCGCAACTCCGTACACCCGGGATTTAAAAAAACATAGTAGCCTATGTGTTTCAGAATAGGTTCTATGTCTATGCCATATTTTAGCTAGATCCGTTCAGCCATTCTGGAGATACCTTGTAACAAATATCCATCGATCCATACATCCAAACATTTTCATTTATAATATTAAGTAAAATTATAGAAATAAATAAAAGCAATTACCTCTGAAAATGCAGCAGGGTCGACAATTAAGAAAATACTATGTTTGATCTCCAATACTTCTTTATTCCATGTATTACACAATAACATGGAATGATGGCTTTCCGGGGCCATAATCAATGCAGGAACTAGATGTGGGTCTAATGCCTCTAGAGATGCTAAGTTACTGCGTATAGATAATATCCCTGGAAATAAAGACAATAAATCAGATTCACAATAAGTGGACTATAAATTAATTTTATATAATATATATTTTAGTATTTGTTTCATAAAATGTAAGGAAGGAAAGGAGAAATGTGCAACTAAAATTACAGAGTACTTAATTATTTTTATTTTTATCATAGTTGGCAAACGAGCGAGTGGCCACCCGAAATCGCTGATACAGCGAAGTGACCATTGCCCACCTTAAATCGACGGAGGAGAGGATGCACAGAAAGAAAATATATTCCCTTTCCATGCATCCCCTCATCCAGAAAGTCCACTTCCACTTCCCATCCTTTCCTTCTAAGAAAAAGGTGGGAAGGGAAAGAGGACTAAATTAGGCCTCCGGGACGCACGCTCATCAGACGAAACGCGGAATTGCTTCCACTTCACGCCTGTCTTCTGTGTGCTTGTGGTATTTCACCGGGCGAACCTGGCCAATTCGTGCGAAGATGTTAAAGCGGGCTCTACCACTGTTAAAATTCGTAAGACTTTATTACCCCAAGTTAAGTTGCCCCAATCAAAAATTAATATAACTTTCAAATAAAATTATCATGAATATTAAATTATAATAATAAAGATATATAATAACATACTTTTGTCATCTGCAGAACATGACACTGCAAAAGATCCAATTTGCAGTAATCTCTCATTATGCAAATCAAATTCCTTGACAAAATCACAACTCTTCGTTTCATCTTCGCCTTTTGACAAACAGTCACATGTACCCATGTTACTTTTATAATGGTTTTGCAAGACATCTACTGGTGATATACTATAACTAAAACAATGAACCAATAAAGCTAAGACACCCCTACTTGTATTAGTTTCTAGCGCATAGAGCGCACCTCTTAATACATCAATCAATACATTCACATTTGACGGTTTGATTGGAAGATTTAATGATATGTCTGAATTATTAAACACTATATCAAGATCACCATCTATCACGTCACTTAAGAGTGTTTTTGTTTCTCTTAATACCTGAAAATTAAAAAAACAATGTAAAAAGCCAACATCCTTGCATGTCCAAAGAGGTAAGTTTAGTATAAACTATATATGGAGAGGCTTTCATTTTTGCCATTTTGCCGCTGATGGTTGCAGTTGCTAGTGGTAGTGAGGATACAAACTAATAATAGAAAAAGAATTAACTATCAGACATTTCGATATTTCAGTAGGAATTAAGCTGAACTTGTCACTTCTAATGACCTATCCATTTTAAGAGATCAGATATCAATGATAGAATAAAAAATAAATAAATTTACCACTTGGCATCTAGCTTTTATAGCGTGCTGATCTGCAGGCAGACAGTAACGGCATAGTGTCATAGCTGATAATAATAACTCATCAATTGAATTGTGTAAACTTTTCAAACATTCAACCATCTGGAAGGAAATAATTAAAAAGGTACAAATTAATGTGTATTATAGAACCAACACTATATATTTTAATATGCATTCACATTTATATTACTTAACAATAAAAAATTGCAATGATAAGTAATTGTGAAAATATGAGCAGTAACATATAATAACTGAGAGAGAGAGTTTATTTGACATTGTTCTACTAATTTTCACTCTCCCACCAATACATCCATACTAAAAGATATTGCTATTTCAGTATCCTACAGAAGAATGATAAGGACAACAATATAGCTAGTAAAATTGTATGAATAACACTTACATTAATTGTCCACTGTTCATATTGTTCTGAATCTGCATCACTGAGTGATACTAAATCAGTTAAAGTTTTTAAATCATCAAAAGTTTGATCAATCCAATTAACAAAATACAGAGGCGGGTCAAAGATGGATTCATCCAAGGCACTGTCTTGTCCATTGTTATTAGTAATCCCTTCTAACATATCCTCAATCACAACCAACCTACTGCAGCACCATGAAAGCCTCTCCAAAGTACATCTTCTACTCTCCTGTAAATTATTTCTTTACTTGAAAAAGATTAACACATTCAGTGCTACAACCTGGTAAGTTCACTTTAATGCTTAAGAATTTGATATTCATAGTAATATTAACATTCTTTGCTAATGAGGAAAGTATAAAAGTATTCTCTTTTTTAATAAAAAAAAATATTTTTCGGAAATGTCCTCTCTTTTCTGTTCAACAATGGTAAACAAAAGTTTAAATTATCTTTACATACCAACAATAATAATTGCTCATGATTTTCCAACTTTAAAATATCTATGAATGATACATAGCACTTGTTAATCTGGCTGACACAAAGTGCAAACACCTTATGTATATTAGTAACATTTTCACGGAGTTCGTCATTTCTTAAATAATTTCCTATTTTACATCCAAGTTTTTGTAAAAATGGATAAAGGTTTGATAAGAATGAATCCTGTAACAATAATAATAATCATTTAATTTGAATGATTATAGTTAGGCAACATTTAATTCGTATGTTGTTATAAGAACCTTACAAACAAGATCAAACACTTGACCTTACCACTAGCAATTTTGTAGCAGACTCAACTTCTTTGGGTAAATCTTGATTAATGTTTAAAATTTGAATATCCATCTTTTAAAACGTCTATTATTATTCGTTATAAAAAATCGTATTTCTAAAACTTATCGAATTATGTGTAGCTTCATAATAGTTAAATAGATAAGCAATAATTACTAATCCAAATGTTGTTTAGATTAGAAAGTATATACCCTAACATTTCATTGTATCTTGCTAGATAACCAGATTCTTTACAGTAAAAATCTAGAATTAGGAAATTTAAACGAGATGGTCGGTTACAAGATACAAAACAACATGACAGTTTAGTTAACATGACATTGTCAAAATGCAGTTGTTTTCACCTGAAAATCGTTTTTATGTTCGCTTTATTTATCTGTTTATTTAACAGTAAATTATTTTACGTTGTGATAAGAAAAAAAAATAAAAGATATGAATTTAAATTATTACATTAAAATGAGATAGTTTTAAGCAGAATAAAACAAGGTTATCCATTTTCCATCTACATACTTTTGACACAATAGATTTCTAATCTGTTCTGTTCTGTCATCTTCAGTCACAGTCAGTCATCTTCAATCTCTGATTTATTACCATTGATGAAGATTGCACCAATTTATTTAAGACTTAACTTTGAAAGTACGTTAAAATGAGTGAATTAGTTTGGGGTATTAAAAACGGCGATATAGATCAAGTTAAAGATATCATTGAAAAAAATGTAAGACTCTTCTTATTGTTGCATGTTTTCTTGCAGAAGATCGATTTTGTGCAAGTGTACTATCTTAATCAAACTTTATTGTTCTCGTAACAATCTCAATATCACATTAAATCACCAGACTGTCATTGGTGTCAGTTACATTGATGGTAGAAAAATGTAATCTTATGCTGTTATTGTTATCAAATAATGGTTTTCTTTATAGAAAATTGATGTCAATGCACTGATTGATGGCCGGGTACCACTTCACTACGCTGCTGATTACGGTCAAACAGCTGTTTTAAACTATTTGCTAGACAAAGGTGCTGATCCTAATGTAAGTTGTATGCTTATAGAACTTTTTAATTTCTTATTGGCAACAAGAAATTTTGATGAATCATTCTTGTTAATTTGTTAGGAATGTTTTTGAAGTGATGATTATTCTGATGAGCTGTCTTTTATGTGCATTCAGAACAATTAATTATGTTATCTAAAACATTTTTCTTTAATCAATTTAGTATTCTATTTAATCTGCATTGCAATTTTTAATTTTACAGATGGTTGATAAACATGGCATATCGGTAATTTTAGCTGCAATCTGGGAGGGGCATACTGATTGTGTTAAAACATTATTAAAACATGTAAGAAAGACTTGTTATATATGAACAAAGAATTTTGAATTAAGAATATTATTAATAATAATTAAAATAAATTTTCAGGGTGCTTCAAAGAATGGAAAAACACCAGATGGCACACCTTACATAGAGGCAGCTGAGAAAGATGAAATAAAAGAACTCCTAACATAGAAGTAAATAATTTCGAAATCACATAAGTATTCTCATAAAAAGCTCACATTCTTATTTTTTTAAGCTAAGACAAAATTGTATAACGATTGTACAAGAAATTAACCATCATATTTTTACATGCATTTATTTATATTGCAATTAATTATTTTTATATGCTAAACATATGAAATTTAGAAAACATATGACTGCGTCCACTAGTAGTTTTAATTTGTTTAACTAATGCCTGTGCAGTGGTGGGAGCCTTGTACTGTACAGAGATGCACTAAAATATATATAAGATGAATTAAAATTTATTTATCATTTGCGATGGCACCTATTTTCCAAGGGCCTATACATTTAGCAAATACATTATTTTATAAGGTGTGTTACGCATGAGGGCAAGAAATAAGATGTCATATTATTGCCAAAATAAAAGGTATAATAAATAAATATTTTTTTTATTTTAAAAAACAAACTAAAGTTATATACAATTATGTATTTAAACTAAACAAAACAATTATGAGAGCATCACAAGTAACTTAATACTACGCAAGTTGCCATACAATTTACTGTTGATTTCCACTGCTATTTGTACAAGTAAAATTTTATATCAACTTATTCAAGGAAAACAGCAAATATTACATAAAGCCATCTATGCCCCTTTAGTTTTAAATTAACAGACCAACAAAGGACATTAGTTTGTGTGTAACTGGCTTAAGTGATTAACTCTCAATCTAGGGATGAATTTTTGCAGGTAATGCTGAGATTTTAAGAGTGATGATATATGTTTAAGTAGCAGTTGAAACCAATACAATTAAGTTTAAAGCTCTCCATCACCAGTTGTATATTTTTTATACTTGTTTTTTGTTGGTGGACAGTAGCATGCATTCTTTTGAGCATCCAAATATGATTTACAGCCAAGAGTAAGAGTACCTGTGAATAATAATTTAGCTGCACCTTTACAACCTGTAATAAAAACAAAATTAGACATTTTAGACAAACAAAAATCTTAATTTTCAAACAACTTTCATAGAAGGTACATAATCATTTCAATCACTTTCTAATCCTTGTGTGTAGATTTTATATATTTTTGTGTCAAAACCCTTATCAAATTAATAATTTTCCTACAGAACTACTAATAAAGAGAAAACATTGAGATGTTAGGACTATATTGTGGAAATCTTTGGATTTCGTTAAAAATGTTTGTTATAAGAAAAATACAAAGTGATTAATATGTCATCAACAATAAACTATCAATATAAAGGAGTTTCATAGTGGTTGGCTGGTTCATAATTATGAAACATGTATGAGTAACATATAATAATTTCTTATATGTTATTCATATAGAAAACTTCATCTATAGTTTTACTCTACTATTCTTCCATCCTTAGAGAGTCACCGAGTTATACATTCACTGAGTCACCTGTGAGTTCATTTCAATACATAGAATAGTAAACACATGTGAATAAATGATTAACAGAAATATAAATGTAATTACAATCTTAAAGTTTTTACCTTTTGATATAGTCTCTCCTCCGATATTTACAGATTTGTATGTTTCACAGTAATTATATAAGCACCTCTTGAATTCCAAATCACATATTTCTTTACCACTGTTACAAGTGTCGTAACATATGTCATGTGCATCACAACATTTTGTCATCTCCTCAATTGGTAAATATTCTGTAGATATATCAAATCCTAAGGAACCACATCCATCAGATTTAGGTATGTGATTTCTATTACGAACTGGCTTCTGTCCTGTAAAAGATAATGTTGAATCTTTGTAACTGTATAAATTTAGATGGATAATAATTAATATTAAAATAAATTTTATAGTAAGTAGATAATAATACAACTATAAGGTGTTGGTTACCACCAGGACAAGTGAATATACAATCCTCCTCAACCGCGGCATCAAACACATCGTGCAAAGAACGAAATTTCTCGGCCACTGTTATAACATTACGAAACATGTCCCCGAACACAGATTCGGCTGATAAAACTGCATCTTTTAAATTTCGCAATATATTCGATCCCACTCCTGTGTAAGCGTAGGCAACGAAGGTTAAAATATATATCAAAATCTTTTTGTAAGGGATATCCATTGCTTGATGTTATTATTGATATTATTTACATTTCCTGAAATGGTATGTCGTAATGTTCGATTTGTTAAGATACCCTAGGTAACTTTAATTCTCAATAATAACAAATCTTTATCTAAATTCTGACGTGTCCTTTAATAATAAAAATAAAATTCCTACAATTACTTCTACAGACATTTAAACCAAAAATAAACTTTACAGCAATTGACGTGAAGTCAAATTTTAAAATAATATTGACAGTGATACTTTAGTTTATAAACTAGTAAAGTTTTTATCTTTAGACACATTACACTTTTATTGATCAAAGTTAACTATGTGAACCTAAGTTTTAATAACAGAGAAAAAATATTGTAAAGACTCTCGTAAAAATGAGGAGTTAACAACTCTAAAACAATTTTTTCATATTAACATTAAAGAAAACATCTATGGAAGTCACAAATTTCTGGACGAAAAATCTTAATATCCGGTAGCCATATTGGTTCAAAAAGTTGTCCTTTTCCGTTTTGTGTCGTGAAAATGACGGGTTTTAGTAATAAGGTGAGATTAAAAATATAGTTAATATTGTACTTAATTCGTTATTTTTTATTGATTTATTAACAAATTAATTGAAATGTAAGTGAGATTGTGTTAGCGTCAGTGCAAATAGTGTTTAGAATATTGGCTAAATCACACTTCCAGCTTAGCTTTACACGTGCTTACTTTTAAGTCAGTTTTTAGTATTATAAAAATAATTTAAGATTGTTATAGTATATCATAGTCGATAGAAAATTAACTGGGCTATTTACTACTAAATATATCGTTGTTCTATAATTCAGACCCTCGGTTTTGTTTGAGGTTATGAATGCAAGTTTCCGGTACGAAAAGTGGGTAACCATAAGATTTCTGTATATTTCAGGCCATTATCATCGATGGCCGTGGCCATCTGCTTGGCCGCTTGGCCGCAGTCATTGCTAAAGTACTATTGGAAGGAAACAAAGTCGTTGTTGTTCGATGCGAACAACTAAACATTTCTGGCAACTTCTTCAGGTTAGTATTACACTTTTTACAACATTTTACCTTCATTTATAATGATGTTATTATTTTGGGTAATTTGCGACTGAATGTCTACATGTTGCTATAATATTTTCTGATTTTTTTAAATTGCCAACTGTTGTAAACATGTGGTCGAATTTGTTTTCATTATTTATACATTTTCAGAAACAAGTTGAAGTTCATGTCATTCCTGCGTAAACGTTGCAACGTGAACCCTGCCCGCGGACCTTTCCATTTCAGAGCTCCATCAAAAATCTTATGGAAAACTGTTAGGGGTAAGTAATAACAGTATAAAATCTTATTTTATAAGGAAATTATTGATTATGGAATGGTTATGAAAGGGAACAAATATATTATGTTACAATACAACTGCTGAAAAATTAATGATTTAAAAGAAAACAAGATACTATAATGGTTCTCTGACTGAACACAAACTAAACACAATTCAAAATATTACTAGTTTGCTCTAGTGAACTTTGTGGATGTGTAAAGTTTTTAATTTTTGATTTCATTTTCAGTACTTATATACTTTGTGTTAAATTTAAATAAATGAAAAGGATATCAAAAAAGATAGTATTTGAGTATAATTCATGATACAAAATTCTAGTTTTAAATATAATTAAAATAAGTAATAAATGTGGTTTGAGGAAACATGTTTCTAATATAATTTACAAATTTTTGTTAGTATTTTACTTAATCTTGCTTAACATGTGTTAGATGACTGCATTTATAGATTTCTGATGATTATTAACAATATTTACCTACATTATTTGATGTTTATGATAAAACCAGATATTATGAAGATTGTTATCAAAATAAGTATCTCGTAGTACCATTCAATTTGAAATTAACACATCAGAAAAACATTGTAGGTATGATCCCGCACAAGACGGAGCGTGGAAAGGATGCACTGAGGAGACTGAGAGCATATGATGGTTGCCCACCTCCCTATGACAACCGCCGCCGTGTTGTCGTGCCAGCAGCACTCAGAGTGTTCTGTCTGAAGCCTGGACGCAAGGTAAACATAAACATCTTAAGAGTAATAAGATGAGTAGGAGTTTAAGTTTACTGGCCGTGGCAATTAATGGATCTTCATTTGTAACGAAGAAGATGGTATTGTTTTAGGTAGGCACCAACCATACACCTGAAATTATGTAAAGGAAAAACATATAAAAAAGATTATTTGGTCTTTAAAAAATTAGATGACTGATTTGGTTTGAAAGTTAGTTTGTAATGATGTCAACATTGGGTAATTTGCGACTGAAAGTTAATATGTTGCTAATTAATATTTCTGATTTTGTTTATTCACAGTTATTTGTTTATCATTGCTAACAATTTGTTTAACATGTGTATTATTTCAGTACTGTCACGTCGGACGACTGTCCCACGAAGTCGGCTGGAAGTACCGTGATGTTGTCCGCAAACTGGAAGACAAGAGAAGGTTCAAGGCTATCCACAAAGTCGCTTTCGAGAGGAGACTTAAGGTTAGTATTGTAACTATAACTTCTATTCTTTGTAACAGGTATACCTTGCAGCGGACAAATTGTAGGTTATATAAAGAACATTGTTATTTATGACATCCTGCCTGAATTTAGGTTCTAGTGCTATGCATTGATATATCCTTCATATAATTTTTTTTTTTTATATCATCATATAATACTAGAGTATATATACATCATTGAAGATTGTTGGAGACTCAGGAGACAAGCACTTGACTTGCAATCTGAAGGTTATGGGTTCGAATCCCGCCATGTACCAATGTGTTTTTCGATTTACATATGTACATTTATCCTATGTTCTTGCGATAAAGGAAAACATTGTAATGCAACCGGCACATATCTGCGAAGAAATTCAAAGATATGTGTGAAGTCAACCAACCTGCACTGGGGCAGTGTGGTTGACTATGGTCTAGTCACCCCTAGTTTAGGGTAGGCTCCGACCCCCTCGGTGGGGATGTATGGTGAGCTGATGATGATGATAAATACATCTGAATAGCAACTTAATATAAGACAAGACATTTCCAATGTGATTATCAGATACTATCTCATCCATAATGATGAATATACAACTTACCTACATTATTTGAATGTAATGAAAAGCATTTTATTCTGAATCTACATATTAAGCATTTATTTTGTCAACATGAAATGTACATAACTAATAATTGCATTTGTTTTGCAGAGAATCACGAAGGAAGCCGGAGAGAAGGTAGCGAAGGCGACAGCGCCGTTCACTTCTATCATCCAATCTTACGGATACAATTAATAATAAGAAAATTAAATAAATTTTTGGACAACCAACCTGTTATTTTATTCCCATTACATTAGATCCTCTACAATACCTCTACCTCTATTACAAATGCCTATGTTTAGATAGATGGTATATGGGTTGTTTTTTATTACGCGCGGACAGAGTAGAGCGACAGGTATACTTTAATATAAATAAACCACGATGAAAAATTAATTACGCTGTGAACTAAGTTATCTTTTATACAAGTCTGGGCTTGTTCCTTTAAGGCTGATGACGTATCGGAAGATGCTTTGGTGTTGTAGATGTCAATGGAAACGTCACGTAAAATATCGCTGTATAAAACATATCGACATCTATCTTTCATCAATCACAACAGAGATAACAAATTTTAAACTGAGATTTTGGTCTCGTAATAGTCATTCATCTAGTTACAGAAACATCTCTACGCCTGCCTTTCAAGCCTCTAGATGCAGTGGTTTTGGCTTTACCTTGTTTTATCAGAGCAATGAAAAGGCACCATAAGTGTGTTTAGTATGTTATGATAAAATCAAACTCGATATAAATTATAAGATTTATTAATGATTAAATTCATACTTTCATTGGTTTGCAACTTTTTGTAGTAAAATTACTATCTCATTGTCTTACTATGAACAACTTTCTAGACGAATCCAAGCTGGAATACTGCTGGAATAATTTTTTATTGAAATTTCAATTCATAAGTGTGATAGTTTGGTGGGCTTTTGAATAAATTCATTGATACTAGTCATTATCATTTAATTAAACATTTCAAAAGGAAAGGAAAGAAATGAAAGTTCTGCCCAATGGTGTTTTGACAATATCCCAGATATTATCAATAAAATACATACATAGATGTGTATTTGATGATTTCTACCAACTTTATTGAAGCTGCGGCTGTCCACAATGTTGTGTAAATCTTATGTAGATAGCATATAAGCTTATGTAAAAAAGAAAACAGAAATTATTATCAAAAGTATTACACTTAAAACATATAGAAACAAACTAATTTAAATAAAAAATTATAGATCTATTGTTGAGTCCTTTTTCTTTTGTTGTCCCTCATACCACGCCTTAGAGATCATTCGTTTCATTTCATCATCACCTGTTTCATACCTGTGAAAAAACGTGATTTTTTATAGCACATGGTGAAAAATAATGCTAGTTTTTTACCTTCAGACTTTTACTATAAATTAAAAATTAGAACTTTTTTTTTGGTAGAACTGTGCAAATGATTTCCCTTTAAAAGTATTTAAATAAACTAGACTGGCACACAACACAAAAGTTAGCAGCGTTTTCTGATAAGGAAAGTCCACTTTCTCCGATGCTGCAACATCTTGAACTTGGTCTAAAAAAAAAATAAGAATATTAATAATTATACTTACATGTTCTTCATAAGACTCATAATAGAGTCCTGGGGATCCTTTTTGTCAAGGTCATCGTTCTTGAAACGGTTGGACTTTTGATCTTCAAACTTCCTTTCAATCTCTGTCATATGTGACCATTTGCTCATCGGATTCTGTTTCGCCAAGAAAATAACCACCATGTCTGCAAGTACAAAAAAGATTTGCATAAAATTTAGGTACTTAACTTCAAAATGTTCTATGGACTCACTGTTATCTAGAACCATGTTTAGTGAGTAACAAACTAAATGGGCTGAGAGGGCAAATTTTTTACTGAATATTATGTGTAGCTTTCCTCACACAAGAAAAGATTGACAAACCATATATTTTATGGTAAAATAGCGCTCATAATACTGCTAAATAAATATACTTTAGTAAATTGAGAAGAACTTACCAGTCTTTTGCTTCCAGTGACTCTCACCAACATTGATAGGTTCAAGCAACTTGTTTATGACCAAAATATAATCCTTGTTATCCAAATTCTCAACTATAAGTTCCATAGATTTATCCGTCAGCTTACAGTAAACCTGTTCTTTTGGTAGGCTGTGGACATTTTTAAGTGTAACAAATACCTTTATGTACTTGTCTGATTGATCCCAACCTTGAATAAAAAAAGAAAATAAACTTAGGCATTAACATTTTCCGCATCAGAATTCTTTTGACCCCTTTGCCATTATCACTCTATTTGATCATTTAAACATTGTTTTTTTTTTCATAAAGGAGCAATGTATAACCACACACTTTTTTCTTTTATAACTGAATTTAATGTGCTGAAAGTCAATATTTCATTTTAATGTGCTAACCTCTAAGATTTTCATGTTTGGTTGGTTATAGTTTATTATGTTTACTTCTCAAAAGTAACAATCCTTTAATAAGTACTTACCATATCCATTTAGTTTAATCTGGTATCGTTTTTCTTGAACTGAAGATGTTGTGGGTATCGGACTAACATCCATGGGAGTAGTCGAAGATTTAGCACTATCCCTCAAACTGATCCATTCGGTTTCCAATTTCCTTACTTCAACGGACAAGAGGTCTTGAACTCTTTTTCGTTTAGCTTGTTTAAGTAATAGATTAAGCTCATCAATGTCGCTTTTAAGCTATTAAACAATAAAAAGATAAGACTTATCGGTCCTTTTTAGCTGAGTAATTTCCTTTGAAAAATTCTTTTGAATGAAACTTACCTCGTTTATTTTAGACTCTGACATTTTGGGAGTGTATATTTACTATGAACTGTTCTTTTATTCAATTAAACGCTGAAAGATAGAACGGCTGCAACAGGCAACAAGTACAATCACAATAAATTCACAAAGCGGCGATCGGCTATCAAAGTAATTCATAACATGCGCTTTTGTATGAATAAAATGTTTAAGTTTAAGCCATCGACAACCATCGAGCAATTTCTGGAAATTACCACAGACGTAATAGTGCCGTTTTTATCATGTCTATGGAAATTGCCATTTCATAGTGCTGCACATTTTTATTGTATCTCTTTAAAAATTAGGGACTCAAACACAAAAAGCTTCATATATTGCATTCGCAGATATTAGACATCAACCTGCCCTTATTCTTATGTGGTGTCGGTAGAGTATGTGCTTCTAATCTTCCATGCATCTCTATTTGCTTATATTATACTCACGACCAGAGGCTTAAAACATGTTTTTAAGTACACAGTGCCTAACCGTATTCTTTGGAACAATACAGTAACTATTTCTGCTCTCCTCTATTAAAACGAATCATTTATTTTCTGAAATATTTGTCAATACTTCACGAACTAAATTACCGAGAAGAGAGCAATGATCTGAATGACAACAAAGGATATAAAATAAATATTCGCTAGAAGAATTTATTGGAAGATTTTTAATACATTTTCAGCGCACATAGTATAGCAAAGCCACACAAAATGGTTTCCTTTGGTGGTAATACAAGGTATTTATTACATTTGTAGTAATTTTTACCCAACTTTTATTGGCGAATTTCAGTAACACAATTCGCAATTCTATGAAACAGTAAACATCAATCTACACATTATTTATTAGATTACGAAATGATGTGACACAATTTTCAATTTCTTAATTTATAAACATTGAAGCTACCATCCTGCTTCACTAGAAAAAATAAGCATAAATGCTAGACAATACAATTACTTTTTATTTAATGAAAGACTTTTTAAAGCGGTTCATTAGTAGTAGTAAGTTTATTTTTTAGTAGAAAATAAAAATTTCTTGTTTTATTTTTTCGGATGAAACTCTAAAAGTACTGAACCGATAATATTTTATTTTTCATTAAAATAAAGGTTTTCTACCGATGAGTAAATTGGACTAATATTTATTCTATTCATCTATTGAATCGTGCTAACATAGAAATGTGAAACTTTAGTTCAATTCTTGCGGTTCCTGTTGCGGCGCATGTTGGTCTGGCACTGCGGGCAGTACCACTTGCCCTTCGGGGGCGCGGTGATGCCCACGCACGGGTAATGGAACCATTCGTATGGGCACTGTGATAATAAAATACATTAATAACTGTTAGTTTATGTAAAAAAATAATGTAATATGTAATATAATCAAATATAGAAAAATTCCTAATTTTAACAGTGGTACACACGAGTAAGATCTTTTACTCCACAACCACACAAAATACAGGCGGTAAGTAAAAGCAATTCCACATTTTAATTGTAAGTGCAAGATTAGATAAAAATGGAAATACAATACGTACATCTTGATTATCGCAAGCGACCATGTCACCATACGAGACCTGGTTGCAGATGCAGTAGCGCGGCTCGTTGGGGTCGTAAGTCCACTCCTCCTCCATAGGCTCCTCAATTGTCACATTGTTCACTACATTGTTGATGCCACTGCACAAAACAAAGATTTTTATCTTATTATTCTTCTTATATAAAACAATTTTTGTATTGATATAGACCATAGTCTGGAAGAACACATAGGCTACTAAGTGAGATTTTTTTTAATTCCACGCGAACAGAGTTGCAGCAACAGCTAGTAATCTTACTATCACTAATATTATAAACATGAATGTATGGATACATATTTGTTTCAAGTTATCTCCAAAACGGCTGAATGGATCTCGATGAAATTTGGCACACACATAGTCTGGAAGAACATATAGGCTACTTATCATGTTTTTTTAATTCCGCGTGAACGGGGTCACGATTGACAGCTAGTTTATATGAAAAAAATATTATTGTCAACAAAAAAAATGACACAGTTATAAAACATGAACTTACACAACAGTGGGCGAGGAGGAGCGGCTGGCGGCCGCGGATATCGTCTGCTGCGCGTGCGCCGCGCTTGTAGTCGCACTGTATGTGCTCTTCCTGTACACAACATTGTATTTTAGGAATAAATAGAATATGTTTACCTCGTACCAATCACGAAGGGGGTAAAGGGGAGCTGCCCCTCCCGCAGATTCGAAAAAATATAAAAAGAATCTTATAGACAACTCAAAAATCACAAGTATGTTTTTTCTATTCCCTAAGTAATAAGCATTACCTTTGGAATAAAAAAAAAATATTTTTTGCTATTTGTCTCTGATGTATAGGGCGACGCCCTTGGACATACTGTATATAATATTTTTAACTCAAGAAATAGATGACAGACTTTAGTATAATTTCGTTTACATTCTTCACATTTATAATGTTTATACTTACTTTTGTTTGTTATGTCGTTTATTGGATGAAGAATTAGTGTGTGTGTGTGAGGTGGTATGATGACCGTGCACGGAGCTGCTCTGACTGTGACTAGATAATCCGTGACCTGCAATTAATTTTATATTTTAAGTAAAGTTACATTTTACCTATATGATAGACATATCTTAACTACAGCCATGACATAAAAACTTCTTTAAGAATCTTATATCTAGGTTATTATAAATAGGTATCTCCGAAAATGCAGCAAGGATCTCGTTTAAATTTGACACAGATGTTGGAACACATAGGCTAATTAAGTTTTTTTTTAAAAATCCTATAGTATGATAATGACCATGATCGTGATGCGTGGCGTGTGCGTTGTGTGCGGAGAGGGCGTGGTGCGCGAGGTCTCCGCCCGCCACCGCCTCGTAAGACGCCTTCAGCGAGGCCGTGCGTCGTCCGTGGTGCATCTGAACACATACAATACTAACTAAAACCCCCACAAATTATCTTTATTGATAAAAATATTTATGGTCCAATAAAGTTTTTTTTTTAATCTTATACTTAGAAAGACGATTTCGGCACCTTCTTTTTTACTTTGCCTTTCTGGACTGTGTAATTCGCAGATTTATGGCGTCCCTTTCTAACGCTATGGGTGGTCGCCCAAGCGCATCCTACGTTAACGCCGGCCCTATATAATTCCCTAGTTTATATCGGCTTACATCACCGTCACCTATCGATACTTGTGAGCTAAATTATTTCAATAAATGTTTGTAACCTTATAACAATGTAATACAGTTTGCAATAAATGAACTATTATTATTATTAATACTTTTGTAAATAATTTTTATATAAATAATATTTAATTCACCTTTTCATACTCCTGGACCAGCAAGAACAAAATATTAAGAGTTACAAATCTATGTTAAAGAATAAAAAACTTAGAAATAAATTATATTAATATTATGTTATTATTTACCTGTTGTGTAGCAGCGATGGCCTGGCTGGCGGCCACAGCTATAGTGCTGCCAGCGTGACCCAGAGAATATGTGTCACGTCCCAACACCGCCTGGTACAAATTAAAAAAAAAACATCTCATATTTAAAAAAAAACAATTGAAAAGTCTAAAAAAGTATTGCAAAAAGCCACTTAATCTGACATCTTGTTACTAATATTATAAACGGTTTGGATTGATTTTTATTAGAATTTAAATTCCAGAACAGATCTCGGTGAACTTTGATATATCTTTAGAACATAGTCAGGTTATTTATAATTCTTTGCGGACGGAGTCACGGGCGATAGGTAGTTTATGATAATTGGTAATTACAATAATAAATATTAGTGACCTGTATAGCGGTGTCAGTTCTTGACAAATTTCCATTGCTGGCATGAGCCCTCGCGTCTCTCGCGCCCCAACTGTCCCGTCTCTTCTCGGCACGGATTCTATATCTAATATAGTAACAAAATATCAAAATAATACGTCAATATATTGCTTAATAACCAAATCCCTTTACAAGCATAATATGTTCAGATTTAAATTATATACTTTATAGAACAATCTTTCCTTCTGTAGTCACTGTAGTGCCGTGCTGAAACAAGCTAAATTGAACCATTCCTTCCTTAAAGCAACTTTTGACACCTTTATTTTATGCAAATAACAAAGAAAAAAATAGCTTAGATTTCAGCTATTGTCATAAGTATAGATTATTTGTGTGACTTAAAGATAGATAGAAATTTAATGTAAAATTTGTACAAACCTATTGTCTTTATAATGGTTATTACTGGATGAGCCGGAATGATTTGTGTTTGTATCAAGATCTAAGGATCTCTTCTCCAATAGTTCAGTTATACCCTTATTATCAGCTTCCAATTCACATTTAAACTTATGTAGTTCTGTATCTGTAATTACATAAAATGTTATGTATAAAATTATCGTCTTACAATGTTTACTATTGTAGGCATATTATATATATACTGAATACAGTATGTCTGAGAATTGGCTACTATCCATTTTTCAAACCCCACACAATGGTAATTGCAGTCTACTGTTAGTTATTATAAAAATATCATGGGCAGCAAGTATCAGCTTAACTCATACTATCTGACAATAACATGCAGCCCAAAATCTTTTTATAAAAGCGCAGTATTTATATTTTATGTCTATAATTAAGCTCTTAAAGTTAAACTTTTAAAACATGATTAAAAATAAATAAGTACAAACCTAGCCGGCGCAAGTATCTATCAACCAGATCATACATCTGACTAGCAAGTGTAACCTTCTCTTCTGCTTCCTCCAGTGTCTTGTTGTATCCCTTCTTGATATCAGCAAACTCGGTGTTCGCCTGGTCTGTATTTATCTCACCACGGCGACATCCACCAAATAGAGTTCTTACTCGTTTCTCTAATGTATCCATGTTATCTATAGGTTTATAAGAAAATTTTATAATTGTATATATCACCCTTATCTTTTATTTAATGTCACATAAATACATGTGGTTGTAATTAAATAGAATGTGTTAACATCTCTTTTAGGTTCTCATAATCTTCATAGTTTTTTTAAATATAGAAATAAAATTAATCGGAGTAATTAGCGATATGTTAAAATAAGTTCAGATTGACTTTGATATGATTAATTTTACAAAATGTTACATATTGTTACAACTTACAATCTTCAATAATATTCTAAGTACTGTATGGCCATTCAACTGGGAAATGCCGCCAGCCTTTTGGGAACCCTACCGTGCGAGCGCAGCAATTTGGGGTCGATTTTTTATATTATTTAGTTTTATTTTTAGTTTGGTTTAGTTTTAGTATATAGTTTAGTTTATATGGTATAAATCATTAACTTATGTCTTAGTTTAAATATATATTAATTTTAGATTTGAGTAAAATACTTATTCAAATTAGTTTCGACCTAATTGCATTGTGACCGTAAAAGGAAATTCCTCCGACATGGATAGTAAATAAATGTCAAGTACTCTATCGTAATACTAACTTTGCACTGATAAATCCATTTCTCTCATTTCTGTAAATCTGTCTCGAAGCTCTTGAGGAAGATGCTCAATCACTGAAAGAGTAAACAACACTGTAAAACTAGATTTAATTTTTTTCAAATATTCGCGCCATTTAAAATTATTGATCCTTATACAATAATGCCAACCGAAGTACAATATATGGCGTCATTGCTGGTAGAACAAAGAACTCACTTTCTAGATAATCCTCGAGATAAAGCATTTTGGTGAGTATTAGCACAATACTTATATATACAATGAATTCAAGAGAAACGAAGGCTTTTAAATTAACAACGAATTAGTAAATACGTAACAAATAAATGCACGCGTTGACGTGAAACTTTCCGTGTCACCGTTTCGTACAAAGATTAGTGATGTACCGTACACATGTTGTAACGCTTCATCGAATTAGTAATTCACTTAGAGTACGGAATGTAACTAAAAAACTGCAATGGAGTTATGAAAAAAATTAACCTTATTCTAATCAAACTAAATTAAATAATGAATATAAGTAATATACACAATAATTTTTAACGTCGGGTTTTATAATCTATAATAATTTATATTATAGTTCAAATAGTAGGATGCTTCGTTTTTCTTTGGCTATAATCGAAGTCATGAGAATTGCCAGTATGTTTACAGATACTTCATATGTGAATTACATCAGTTTTATAACGAGGGATTAACATTGTATCTTCATATTTAAAAAAAAATACTTTTATTTCCTTCATTTATCTTTTCGATATTGCTATCACATCACTACTTAAAGCGTCTACCAACCTTACATTTAGTTAACAGTGTCATAAGGCTGCGTTCAAATTTTACAAGAATATATTTTTACTTATTACAGGTTAAACAATGATTCGGAGGCCATTAACGGAAATAACGCTAAAACTAGACGATTTACAAGAATACGAAGCAATGCGGCGAGATCAAGCAAATAATTCTTCAAGGAATGAAATGTCAGAGACACCAAGGCCTCTCGGCAACGGAACGAAGACAACCGAAGAAGTACACAATCGAATTGGTTATGCTCCTAAAAAGAAATCAAGCGGGCCAAGTACAACATAGTTTAAATTTAAAAGTTACTTCATATTTTTTTACTTAACATAAAAGGTTAACTTGTCCCTTTACTCGTCGTCCACCCGGCACCGCCCCCAAATCGATCGTCGCGGCGTTCAATTGCCCAGCGCGTCAAAGTCGTCATTTTAGCGGGATAGATATAAATTTGTTAGCAAAACGCGTCACCCCCGTTTGCACAGGTTGGCGGCTTCCATCTGGCAAGGCGTCCATTCACCATGGCCACCAACCCGATCGTCTCATCGTGTGGGCGAGGACTGGATGAATGCGCGTTAACCTTAAGTCTTCTTCTTAAGTTATAATAATTAAAACAATTTAATTAATAAAACTGGTTTATTATTCACTTCCTTTTGTTCTCTTTGCCTCGTTTCCTCATAATAATGATATCCAAGACAGCCATAAACTACTACTACTAAACGTTAATTCAAAACATAACTTTAAATAAATACAAATAAGTATATAGTTTTATTTATTACAAAAAATTAACAATTTTTTATTTAAAACGTGAATAAGTATCGATTATAAAGTGAAGTGAGTGTAGAATAATAAAAAATGTTGACTTTTAAATATTAAAAGAAGAATTAATGCTTAAATTTATTAGGTTTCGACGTTGATATGTTATCTGGATATTTCATATTATTTGCTTGTTTCTTCGAATTTCTCTTGCGCCCAACCATGCAGAATATTCTGGAACATTTTATGATATATTTTACGATTATAAAAATATAAAATAGTTCATAATTTTAATATAAATCGTTTTTTAAATCGCTAAATCAAAGCTGGTTTTCGAAACGAAAGCTTTTGTTTGCATGTTGTATAAATTATGTTGTATAAACATTGTTAGGACCGAAAGAAAAATAATGATATTATTTACCTCAAAGTAAGAAAATATAAAATTTCAGCTACGCTGAGTATCGAGAAACCCATAAACAATCCTAAAAGACCTCCGCAGTTTGCCAAAAAGTCCGTTTGACCATAAAGTTCAGATCGTCTAGAAGTGATGAACTGCGCTTCTTTGAAGAAAATCATAACACGTGCAAATTTTTGACTGAAAGAAAAATTATGTGATAATGTACTTTTATTTCTAATTTGTCTAAAAAAATGTTTTATGACAAATTAGAAATAAAAGCACTTTATCAATTTACAGAAAAAAATAATATTTAGACATATGGAAACCTACAAGCAATAGTTTTTTTTATTATTTTAATTTCTGTATTATAAGAAGTTATTGATGTTGATACGTCTGGAAATCGATAAAAAATCTTACTCAAGAATATCGTCTCCTATAGTGATATTAAAGGCGGTGTACAATGCCTTCCAATCATAATCCGCTTGCGAGGTCTCCGCTTCATATTCTATGGAGGTGCAAGCGGGCAGGCACTTGCAGTGCGACGCGACCTCCTTTGCTACACCTATCGTGTCATTCTCGTTTGATTCCTCCTCTAGCCCGGACTCTATGGCCACTGTAACTAGCTCCACTAAAAAAAAATATGAAATTACTGAACTTGTTTCTTTAAAATATGTCGATTTAAAGAAGATTGGACTGAAAAAAATGACATGCAAGGACGACGAAGAAACACGAATAAAACAACATTATTTTTAATAATTTGTCTACTAATAATCTAAAGTGTTTGTGTCTTATTTACCTACAAATAAACATCAAAGAAGTCAGAGAGGGAAGTTTTACAGACTTACTTTGTGATTTTTTCATGCAGGCAACACTACCAGCGTTGCAAACGGTCATGTTCGGGCCGTCTGAAATGAATAAAAAATAAATTAGACAAATTGCAATAGTTGGTTTGCAAAATATACTACAATCTGCATTCAACTCACGCGGCATGCCGAAATGAACACACCCGCAACGCGCGTACGTGAAATTTGTTAAACATTCCACTTCACAATTGGCTTGAGTATACACCTTGTAGTAACGAAGGTAGCGCTCACTCGGGAAGTAGCATTGTCGTCTGTAATGGGATTATTCAATAAAATTGAAAAATAACACGTACAGTCGTATTCAATAATCATTTTTCAATTCCTCAAATGAACAGCAACAAGGGTTTGCTACCAAATGTTGCTTTCAAAAAAGATTCCGTTGGTAACATGTAGATTAGTGTGCTAAGAGAAACAAATGAATTTCAAGGGACTGTGGCAGTCAGAATTGCAATCAGTGGCGTCGCCAGAGGATGATGTAGGCTAGAATAAAAACATTTTATTTCAAAGTTAATGCTTATTAGATAGGGAATGGAAAATCTTATATGTAGTTTTTGAGAACTATTTCGAAGTAGTTTATATATCTATTTTGTAATTATTTTTCCCATGACATCGACATTGAATGCAATAGATATGCCTTTAAGTTGGCAAATCTGATAAAATTACAGCAGTAATTGATCTGTCCTCTATCCTCAGTGATATTTGTTTCAAAGGGAAATATTGTGAACTATCCTTTTAATTTTATTAATCTAGTGCATTATAATTTGACAAAATTCACAATTGATCGTTAACACGTTCGTTTAGTAGCAATGCTAATACTTGCACTGAGGAAAGGTATGGCTTGAGTCCATCAGAGGTTGTCATCATCTTGGGCCGGATGGCGACAATCACCTCCTGAGACAGCGGTGACCTGAAGTACTGTTGCGACAGGCGCGGCAACTCCGCCGGATTGTGGAGAAGTATCTATTAAAATTATAGTCTATTTGTAGCAAAATTTGTTTGAAAGGGTAGCGTTAAAGATGGTGATCATATAAACAAGATTGAATATGAACCTACCCACTACCACCTACCTACTATGAAGGTAGAGGAAGACCAAAAAAACTATGAATGGATTGTGTGAAAAAGGATAAGCGTAAGAAGGGGGTAGATTCAGACATGATGACTGATAGAGAAGAGAAGTACACACTGTGCCGACCCTTCGTAGGGATAATGGCAGTTTGATGATATATCCAGCAGCTAGCTGTAGCAAATATGCGTTGTGGTCTTTTTGTATACCAGTCGTGCCAGTGGAAATAGAACTCGCGACTTTATATAAATAGTGGTCGCGCGCGTTCTGCAGCTGAGTGGAAATGGATCTGAAGCGATTCACTAGTATTGTATAAACATACCTTAAAGCCTTGCACAGGTCCTTTACAAAGATAGTCTAAGTCGATTTCCTTGGTTTGCAATAAAAATGTCAAACCGGCTTTTGCACCATAACCCTGAAATTATATTATCGATGGAATGTGTTTTAAACTACCTAATATTAAAACATGTTTAATATGAAATACGTAATATAAAATAATAAACAAGCGAATGGTTACCGAGCCTCTGTGCGGGTAGGTCTCAAGTGGGGCGGACGGTGGATATCCATCTTCCAATGACCACCTTTGTCCATTATCAGTTGACGAATTTATTATGGTACTTTCCAAGTATTGATAATCTTTGTGTAAGCTGAAAGTGAATTCAATAAATTCAATAATCTAATTACTGAAGTTTTATTAAAACTGCATGGATCTCGCTGAAATTTGGCATAGACGTAGAACACATAGATTATTAAGGTTTTTTTTTAATTTCCCGCGGATGGAGTCGCGGGCGACAACTAGTAAGTATAATAATAAAAAGGTACTAAGATATCACTTAGATATTATATAACTTAATAAATAACCCAGACTGACTACTAATACTCTGAGGAAATATAGACATCGAAAGAAACTCTTCATTCAGTCTTCATTTAAACAACAGAAGGCTACATAAATGTCAAAAAATTAATTATTTTCTTTCGCTCATGTAAAAAAAATATATACTTCTCCGTCCTGAAAAGATCATCAGCACTCAACGTGTTAAACGTGTAGCAGATGCCATCCTCAGTTAGAATCGGTGTGAAAAGATTCACACAACTGTCTTTCATAGGTACGTCTTTCCATTTGCAACCGAAGAAAAATTCAGATATATTTGGAGATACCTTTAAAAATAAAAAGTAAATTGGAGATCTCTTTTTATAAACAAGTAGGTGTAACTTTTATAGTAGTTTTCAGATATCTTGGCGGTTCTTAACTTCGCGTTAATCGCTGCAGAGAATACAATTTTATAATAGGTATAGCGGAGGGTACGGCACTGAGCTGCTCGCCGATGACCTTGAGCCGCCAAGATATTTGAAAAGATCTGTACCTGTTTTAAATTTTCGACAGTTGCATTCCCGTCAGAGAATTTGCGACCTATGGCAGGAGCCAAGTGATCATCGCAAACCAATGATACGTCTTCAAACATATTCTTCCTAAATTGTGAAACATAATAAGATTATTATTACATACATAGGGATGTAGGTTTCATAATTTTTCATGGACTTGTAACTCTTTTCCTCGACTGAATGATAAATAATAGGTTTATTAGTTATTTACAGCTATATAAAAATTATAAATGCAAATATTTAGATGGATTGATGGATGTTTGTTAGAAGGTATCTCCAGAATTTTGTATAGGTATAAAACATAGTCTGAAAGAACACAAAGGCCACTTATTATAATACTTTTTTTTTAATTCCGCGCGGACAAAGTTGCAGGCAATTAGTAACTATAGACTAGATCCGTTTAAAGTTTACACGAATTCTTATAAACGCATTTTTGTAATGAGAAACTTTTGAATGAATATAAGTATTTTGTTTTCGTTCGATAATTAATGTAGAATTGAACAAACATACTCTTCCTCCGTCAATTCCATGTACGTTTCATTGTTTTTATAAAGATGGTAGTATTTTGTAAAATTGAATCTTGTTTGTAGTGACTTCGTTTCAAAGCAGACTGTTACCGCGGGGTAGGGTATCTGCAATAATATTTTTAAATTCAATCAACTTCATGTCATTGTATCCTCGTGCCATGAATCATATTTTTACACAAATACACGTTTGCAATGGAATTGAACAATTAGGGATACCCATCATTTTCTTTATATATCCTGAGACTCAATTTTTAATATCCTCGACAAAATCTAGACATGTCTTTCGCTTTACGTAATTGAACAAACTTGAATACTTGATTATGTTTACAAATAAAAATTTTAACGTTAAAATAAATGATTTTAAAACATTATTAAGAAAGAGGAAAATACTGTTCAAATAATATTATAAAAATTATTCTTTTCATAAAATTGTCATTATCAACGTATGCATTTTGGGGAAACCATTGATCGCCACACAGATCTTTCCAGTCCAAGTAATCCCACTGGATAATGTACACTAACCATGTGACCAAATGGGTGGCCATTAAAATTATTAAAATAGTATAAATACCTGCCAGACAGGCGTAGAATTTTCGGCAAAACTGACTATGACTGGACTCTCATTCCATTTTATCCAGACCTTCCTTATTAGACCGGCGCAGAGGACGACACAGCAAATGAACATGAACAGCCAAAAAAGCCTAAAATAACAATTTTTTGGTACATATTTTTATGACTTTTAACAGTGGTAGACGCCAGCAACAATCACATCCCTTCCCACTCTTTTCTTACAGTGGAAGGATCGGAAGGGGAACTGGATTTTTGCGGAATAGGGGACGAATACAAGGAAATATTCTTTTTTTGTGCGTTCCCTCCTCCGTCGATTAAATTTAGGCATCACATTTGCAATTGCTGTTGACTACGGTTCTTCATTATTTCGGCGAATTCAGCCGCTTGCGCGTTTGCCACCATATAATATAAAAACCAATAAATACGTTATTAATCAGTAAAACATTTATTTAAATTGGATTATAGATGTTTATTAATTAACTTACTTTTCCGCAGGAGTCCGTTCTTTCTCACCGATGTATTTAAGTCCATGCAGGTTAGAATTGGCCGTGTAGTCTATCAAATATTCCTTAATAGTAAACCGTTTACCCCTTTTAATTTGTGGCGGGTCATAACTTTTCTCCAAATCATTATCAACATGGCCAACACTACTCGATCTAAAAAAATAGGAAGTTTATAAACTTTGTCTTTATTATTATTTTTCTTGCTATTAAATAGACAAAAACCTCGAGTGTCGCTTCATGGTGTCCAGGACTAACTGAAGCAAATCGCATAATGCTTTTTGTATGCTTTTTATTTGGGCTTGGTTATTTAAAATTGGATAGAACCATTACACATATCCCTGAGGACTTGACTGCCAATTATGAAATTAAAATGTATACCCAGAAATATTAACATAACAAAACATTTCACATATTTGCCCCCAGGGATGTCTACCATCTGAATTGCAACTTTATATGGGATATAATTATTTATATGAATTTTCATTACATTGCTACCTTTTTCTAGAAAAAATTATATAGGAAATACATTGAACAATGCCGTATAAAACAGAAAAAAAATTAATTTTCATTTAGATTATTATGTATATAAAATAAATTAAATTATAAACAGTTGACAACCCTAACTTGATGCAAGGGATGAGGAGTATTATTAAATTACTGTTTCATTCACATACGTATAATATACTACTTACGTTAAACCGACCCACCTAACATTTGACTACAAAATTCATTAGTACAAATTAAATTTATATATATGTTTGCCCTTTGAGAATTATAAGTACATAAGAATGTAATAACTATTAGTAAGTATTAAGTAATATATATTACTACAAGTATTATTTAACAGGTAATAAAACTAGTGAACAAAGAACGAAATAACATAAAAGATGACAATAATAAGGATCAACATGTGTCAGAAAACGGATCACGTTTTGCTAACAGAATTCAACCTTGCTAATAGATTGTTAAAGTATCTAATGACATAAATATTTTATAAGATGGAGTCAAAGGTGGAAATCAAGGCCTTCAACTCTCACATCTACAGGCTGTGTGCTTTAGTCCTTATTATTATTTTTAGAATCAATTTAATTAGAATTAAGTATTAAGAAGTGCTTAGTTGAAATAAATTTTTGCGACAGACCGACGGACGGACTGGTGGACTGACGAACGGTGATCCTGTAAGGATTCCGTTTTTTTTCCTTTCGAGGTACGGAACCCTAAAAAAGTGGACAAAAAAGGTCTGCTATATAACAAATGAGTATCTCAGTGAACCATTGCAGGATTCTGGAATAAATATATTTGTTTTTAGTCAGTAAGATACTGAAACAATATTGATGGTTATATTACTGTTAGGAACAACAGTATCTCGAAGTAAAATTCAAATTAATATTAACTTAAGCTAGGATTTTGTTTGTAGGAAAACGATTGTTTGTATTTCAGACATAGTTTATTGGTTTTATCATCTATCTAAGAATGTAAACAAACATGTAAATAATCTATAGTAAATATCGTTTAAGTATCAACAAATCAGTATGAAATAATGTTCAACGTTAATGAACAAGGAACTTGTGATTCATGTGAACGATATTGATAGGTAATAGCGTATTGAAATCTATATAATTAATAAAATTGGTGTGTCTGTATGTATAATATCGAAAAAAAAATATTTAGCGAACATGATATATAATATTTGCGTTCCTGCCAACTAAAATCCAATTTTTAATAATTCTTGTCTGTCCACCTGTCTGCTAATTCGCGTTCGTTACGGGTAATCTCTGAAACGACTGGACCGATATTACTATAAGATTCATTAATTCAGGTTTTTTTCTTAATTCCAATCAAACGAAGACAATGTCGCGGCCAGTTACTAGTCCAAATATATGTACAAGAAGTAAAGAGGTTATATAATAACTGTTAAGGAATTTTAATTGTTACACTAACAATAACTTCAATTATTACATTCATCGATTTAACAATAAAATAACTAACCTAGAACTTCATTGAATCTAAATTATAAACATTATTGAAAAATATACTAAATAAATTTACCTTCAGGTCATTCCTCCTAAACCTGTGTTTGAATTCTTGGAAGTTCCATCTTGATATTGATTTTAGCATATTCTGTACCTTGCAAACCATAGATAATATTTGTTTTAATAGTAATGAGTCAAATGTCAATCATTACGTATTAATTTACGCAAAATTATAAATAATTTTATAGGTATTTTGAATTAAATTATTAATTTTCCGTCAGATTAAATATTTGTTCAATGTAATTACGTGAAAATGTAATAGTATTGGCAAAAGGTTTTTAGAAAACATGTACGTAGTAATAAATCAACTTAATTGATTAGCCACAACTTCAAAAATGCCTACTCCAATTTATCACACGTATAAAATACTATTAGCTTACGATAAAGCTCATAGTAACTTATTGATTTTTTACATTTTATAATGAAAACATATAACTTAATAAGTAATTTAACGATTTTGTCAAAATCAATACGTATTAAGTTATGATTTATTGAAAGTGAGGGTGTTTCAATTCGATTTCTATACAATGAGGCGGTGTAGAACTCAAGGCCGTGTGAGGTCGGTGTGTAAGTGTTTGGGTGTAGAGTTATTACCATACAAACAACGATTGCGGTAAGATTAGACAAGCCGTGGAGCCGCGCGACGTGTGCGTGCGGTGCGGTACGGCGAGTCCGCGTCGGTGTCGATTCGTCCTTCCCCCGCGACTCAATGACTCGATTGTAATAACACCACATTTGTTTAGATTGGAGGGATATTTTATTAACACGTTCCGCGGCACACCGAACGAACTCGCAAGGCACAGAAGTGTTAACATTTCGAGAGCTTTACATTGGTAATAGATAGGCAGAAATTGTAACTTCAATGAATCGTATCTACTATAAATCCACTGGTTTAGTTCATCGAGGGACTAGACTAGTGAGGGTTAATCTTGTAGCAATTCATGGAGGAGTAATGTAACAGACGACTTAGTGGGTAATATGAATGAATGTAATTTTGGATGTCCTGGACAGTCTATCGATATCAGATAGCGTGGTGACCGTATTAGCGAGAGAACGCACGCGGAGCGAGTGCGAGGCACTGACTGCGGCGGCAGGCGGCCGCGGCTCCAGCGGGCAGCTCGGCTAGTGTCAGTGAGGTCGCACGATAGTGAACATCTCGCCGGCGCGCTTCCATATTCGTATTACGAAAAAAATCACTCTCTACCTTTTTTTGGCGGGTAATTTTCAACAATGTCGGCCACCGAGGAACTGAGCGGCATTCTCTCGAGGCGACAGGAGATAAACGAAAAACTCGAAGAAGGGCTCGAGGTTAAACCTAAATATAAATATGTGAATGTTTTTACCGAGTTTCATGAATTCTCCAGGAAGGAAATTAAACAGTACGAGGAGACCTTTAACAAGTAAGTGGTCGTATATAAAATTATTTTTTTTGCTTTTCCTGACAGAAAATATCGCTTTATTTATTCTATTTGTACATTTAAAATATTAATAAGAGACTGGTATTTACTTATAAGACCATATCTACCCTCTGTATGTCAAAAGAACTCAATAACAAACATTTGTGATAAAATTAGACGCAGTAACAAATCCAAGCAGTATTTTCATCAAGTTTTACATGTATTTGTATATAAACGGTATGTGTTCTGTTAAAGTTTATTACTTTTTTCATTATATGACATTCTGAACAATTCATTTACTGAAATCACAAATTTCGTAATGAAATTTAAACAGAAAATGTTAGTATGTAAAGAAAATAAACAATACTATCCCCTAATATCTAATGACAACTAAATATACAATATTTATTTTTAATATTAGTGAAAGTTACATTGAACATTACCAATTATGAAATTAGTGCATAAGACATCATTGTTAAGTGTGGCCGACGTGGGAGACAAAATGAATACTGAATAGGAGTCGTGTTCATCAGAGAAAAGTGTTATCTCATTAAAAACTTTCATTTACCTATCTTATGAGATTACTTAGGATTCACACGCTTATTGTCATTATTTTACGTAACTGTATTTTCTTAATTATTACTCTTCCAAACACGTGGTTCGCTATATAACCTAGAAAGCCCATCAGTCTGAAAACATTACACCCATTTGTTACTGTAATATTACCCCTTTCTTACTCAAAAAATAATAAGAATAATAGTCGAAATAAACAATGATTTCAACACAAAAAAATATCCCTCAACAAGTAACTTCTAACTACCCGCATAATTTTTATCTATATCGATTTTGAGTCAGTAAGTTTTGTTATAACGTATATTAATACAACTAAACAATGAATGAAATTGTTTACAAATCTTTAACTGGTATTATACTATATTATAATAATAATAACATCGATTCAATAAATAACTATGCGTAACTATCGCGTAATGATTTGTATTGATGACTGTTTCCGTCTTAGGACTTACAAGAGATGAATGAAAAAGTGGTTAACTAGTTCGTGGGACTCTTATCAAGTATTGCAACAAAATACCCTCACTGACTCAGATTAAGCGGCAAAAATGTTTTCGTCTAAACTATTAAACTCGTCAATAATGTCAAAACAAAAACTGAAGTAGTTTTGGAGTTTATCCTCAATAAGAAACAACTTTACAATAAGAGACATAACATTTTTTTTAATTATTTTTTGTATAGAAGACTAGCTGTCGCCCGCGACTCCGACTGCGCGGAATTAAAAAAAAACATAATAAGTAGCCTATGTATTTTTCCAGTCAATATTCTACATCTATGCTAAGTATCAACGAGATCCATGCATCCGTTCTGAAGATACCTTCAAACAAACATTCATCTTTCCATCCAAACATTCGCATTTATAATATAAAGTAAAGTAAGATAAAAAAGGCTGAATAAGAGTTGTATGACTTAAGTTACCGGATATTATTCACATAATCATCATTATACCAATTACTAATGACTCGGTAATATGTTTGACATGTAATTGAATAGTCAGATGTAGTCAATAATATCGACGTTTTCGCGGTAAAATACAATAGTTCGTGTTAAAATGAATTTGACAATGAGTCAACAAAGGGGTTAACCCTTATGACTAATTACATTACTTCGTTAATTATATTTAATTGCATTTGAGTTTCTATTTCGCTAATAATTATTTTAGGGCGCAGTTAACGGGTGCCCTTTATTTTTACATGGCGACATACAAAGTTTAATTAATTAAAATGTTTCAAAAGTTTTCGTCTCATTTACTTATTTATAGAACCATTGCTTGTTTTTTTTGTATTTCTGAGTTATTTATGTCGTTGAATCTTGATTACAATTTTTATTTCTGAACGGTAAAATCTTTTAAGATTCTATATTTTATTTCCGACTGAATAATCGTGAATCATGTTAACTTGACGAATATGGGGTCTACAGTTTTCACTATATTCGAAATGCGGTCTTGTAAAAAGTTGTTTGAGATATTTTAAATAGCCGTATGAATACGTGTGACATTGTCCAATTTAAAAATAATAAACCCGGAACTGTATACTTTGACCTATTATATAGAAAGATGACTTATAAGGTAAAAAACTTGTTACATTGAAAAGCGAGTTTTGAAAGTTGTTTTGAGGTTATATATTATAATTTTTATATTATATGTTAGTGAATCATTTCTAGGAAGTTACGATAAGAAGTCTATATGTACAACAATATGTTGGACATTGGCTGTGTTTGTTTGGCAGGAAGTGCAATGTTCAGTCCAGATATCGCGCGACAAAATCAATGTCCCTTCGACTGAGATATGAGTCAACGAACTCTACAACGTATAAAATTTTCTGCCGCGAAACTTTTCTGATTTCCTTACCGGGTTATTTAAAATTCTAATTCTGATTCATATTACTCACCATTATACGTAAATGGCATAAAATATTTTTATATGACGCGTGCAAACATGGTTCGCTGAATCATTCCGTTTTCTTAATGAATCAACACATAAGGAAGACAAATTTAGGTAACTTAGCTATATGCTTATATACTAAACTGTCATTTGTAAATACAGTTATGTACTGTTATTTGAACGATTCATAACTTCGCAATTATATTTCATTCAAATAGACGACAAAAGCAAAGGAAAAGCGTTCCAAATTTGAATTTTCATTCCATTCATTCACTGTAGAAAAGAGGTTATATAACATTTGAATGAAATTAAAAAGATATCCCCTTCATTACTTAACTTATGTATTCAGGTGTACATTCTTGAGCGCGTACCTCGTAAAGGCGTTATCGTTCACACACTAATCTTATCGCTGACATAACGTAAATACGGCCATTATATTGTAGTGACAAAATTTCGACGAAGTTTGTTACTTTACGCCTGAGTATTGTATGTCCAGTTATCACAAATTATTAACAATCGTGACAAATTATTTTAAACGGAAACCGTTATTTATTAAATCGAACAATGAATTTCTAAATTGACTGTAAATAAGTTCCTGAATGGCGGATTACGTATTCCTACCCTTGTCTTTTAACTACCGAAATATCTGCATCATAGAGGGTTACAATTTACGAAAATCATAGTCTTTCTTCTGATTGAGCAATGTTTGCACGATAATTATGCATAGGTTCCCAAAAACCAGACGGCTGAAGACCTAGAAACTTCTAGTGCTTTTGGTATTCGAAATACATTTAACAGCGTAAACTGCAAAAAACATACTACAAAAAATATGCTACAAAAAGAATAATATTGCTCACCTTTTGAGTGATTATCACATACATTTATATTATTTTACTATATCTGGATATTATCAATTTAATTATTTATAATAACGATTAGAATATAGAGTTATCGAGTTTTTTATCGCCTTGTAATTTAAATCGACCAGTAAATTGCGATCCGCTAGTTAGAATGTTTTTAGGGAAAAATGTGAGATATCATTTGACCTGATTGGGCTTAAATAAACAACTTATTAGTATTATATATTTGCGCGATACGAATACATAAGTACCTAACAGTTATGTAAATTATACCGATCCATATAAAAATAAATGCCTTTTTAATTTTTTTCAGACGAAACGAGAATTGATTTATGGTTTATGAATCGTAGTTAAGTCAATCTTTTCTTGAAGTAAGGTAATGATGTGGACTATGCAACTAATGAAATATTTAATATCATGGAATGTAGAACACAAACACCATGATATGTAGGAATTTGTATGTTTTAATTCTTTATGGGAAATGTATTGTGATGGGGTACCATCCCACTAGTAATATCTTACCTTACCACCGTAATAATACCATTTAATAAAAGTATTCTTTGATCGAAACTTAAATCAGCATCTTTGTGGTTAACTGTAATAGTTAACTAAACCACAATCTCACCTGATACAGTCCCATATGTGCGTATACATATTATGTTCTGTTCTTATAGTTGAAAAAAAAGGCTTTATCCTCTGCCATTATCTACATTTTATTTTATGTTTTATGGTGCTTGTTTAAAAAATAAGAGAATGATAAAATGATAAAATGATCGAAGAGCAAGACGGCATTAGAGTTGTTTTAATATCTACAAAATCTCAGGCCCTGTACTGTTATTATTTTAAAAAATTACATCTTAATTTGTAGTCGTAGGCGCTTTACGAAATAGAGTTTTTGGTGTGGCTGTAGTGTTCCAATTCATGCAAGGATATTTAATCAATGGTGGGTTGATTGATGATTGAAGTAAGTCACACGGTACTCAGTCGCAAATTGTTGAAACATAAATTATTCTGAGTACGTTACATTGGGTGGCGTGTTTATTTCGCCTTCCGTTCGCGTCGCGTTGTCCGCGCTCTTATTTTAGGCGACCCCCTCGATCATGACGGAACTGCGACAATGCCACTTTATTAGTACAGTCACGTGCAGTTATGTTATAAACGATTTCTATTATTCATATATCGTAGCATTGTAGTAATATTTTGACTAAGACAACTTAGGTTTGACCAAATTATTAAAAAGTAGCATATGTGTTCTTCCAGACTATGTTCTACATCCATGCCAAATTTCACCAAGATCCATGCAGCCGTTCTAGAGATATCTTCAAATAGACATCGATCCATCCATCCATCTAAACATTCGCATTCATAACATTAGTATGATAAGAAGAATATAATCTTTATTTTAAAGTGTAGACCCTTGTCCGTTTAATTCTTTTTCTAAAACAGCTTTTTTCCTCAACTTTATACTTAAAAGAAAGGGCCGTATAAATCTTCATTCTGCGCGAGTCGCGTCCTTGGTAGTCAACCACAACCATTGGCTACCGTTAGGCTATTGTGGCTTCTTGTAGTATCGTCTTTATTACTCACCAGGAATATTCTTAGTCAATATGTCTACCAGTTTAATTATTTACTAACCCTATAGTTACAATAGGGCGTTCAGACGGCGGGTCTACTAGTTGAGCTTCCTT